AAAAAAAAAAAAAGAGGGACTAAGGAGGTAGCTTAGTGGTAAAGTGCTTGCTCAGCATGCACGGGGCCCTGGCTTCCATCCCCAGCACGGCAAAAATAATGAAAAGAAAAGAATATAATTGATCCGGGTAGCGGGCACACCTGTAATCCTGCAGCTCAGGGGGCTGAGCCTGGAAGATCACAAGTTCAAGGCCAGCCTTGGCAATTTAACAAGGCCCTAAACAACTTAGTGAGACTCTGTCTGAAAGGAAAAAATAAAAAGGGGGCTGGGAATGTGGCTCAGTGGTTAAATGCCTCTAGGTTCAACCCCTGGTACCAAAAAAATAAAAATAAAAAAGAATGTAATTGAAAATAGCAGAAAGCTTCCTCGTGAGTACATGTAACCTTGTTTCATGAAACACCACTTGCAATCACAGTTGCATCTGCCTGGTTCGCCTCAGGATTTATTATGTGCAGTTGTCCCTCTGCGGCTAAGGAGGATTGGTTCCAGGACTTCCGATTCCAAGATCTGCCTGTGTCTGTGTCCCTTGAATAAAATAGTCTCTAGATGGCTCGTGATGTCTAATACCAGCCCKGTGAAAGGTGCATAGTTCACTGTGTTGTTTACGGAAAAAAGTCAGACCAGAAAAAAGTCTGTCGTGTTCAACACAGAAGCAATAATTTTTTTCCCAAATATTTTCAGTTGAGTGTGAACCTGGGTATAGAGACCCACCTGCGTCCCATGGTGGCAGCGTCCTTCCCGAAGCCACCGCCTTGTGTTGTCCGTAAGGATCTCRCTCTCATCTGCCACTGTGCTGGCCCCTGTGTGAGATCTGATGCAGGGACCAGTCCTGTCACCTGTTTGCTCACTTTTTATTCATGAGTGTTCGACTGTCCTGTAAGCTACAAGCTGAGGCAGGGAGGACTTTGAAATAGGGCTGTCCCCTGTGTGGTCTTGGTTTTCGGGTGGATGTGGGCCATCTGGCCAAGGCCTTCTCTGGCCTGGCTCCACGCCTGTTCGGCAGCAGGCCATGCCCACCACTAGACATGCTCACTTAGGGTGTCCAGCCTGGTCCCTATCCATCCACTCCCCTTTTTTTGTGTTTTGTGGTGCTGGGCATTGAACCCCGGCCCTCATGCACGGGAGGCGAGCTCTCTACCAACTGAGCTGCGTCCCCAGCCCCATCCACTTTCTGTGACAGTTCTTCTCCTGTGCTTTTCTAGCCAGGTGCTGGGGACGGGTCCAAGGAGGAGATGTCGTCTGTGGAGAAACCAACCAGAGCCTTACCCAGGAAGTCCAAAGACCCCCTGCTGTCTCAGCGGTGAGCCCTGGCTTGTCACCATGCCTGTGGAGATACCTCCTGCTGGCCTGTGGGGGGAAGCTAGGGCGCCAGGTGTGGGACTGCAGATGCTCTGGAGTCAGGAAAGGTCAACCTTGGGGTGAATTTGGGGCCTGTCCCCCCTGGCTGGATGATGGTGTGCCCCCAGCCCAGCCCTTGCCCCCCCCACCCTATTCCCAGGGCCCACTGAGGCCGGGCCTCACCCCTCCACCCTCCACAGGATCTCCTCCCTCACAGCGTCRCTGCATGCCCACAGCCGGAAAAAGGTCAAGAGGAAACGTCCCCGACGGGCACAGGACTCCACCAAGAAGCCCCCGAGTGCCACCCGCACCAGCAAGACCCAGCGCCGCCGGCTGACAGGCAAATCCCGGCATAACGGGGAGTGACCCCCGAGAGCCCAGCAGTGCCAGCCTGGGCTGCAGGTCCTGTCCTGCCTCAGCTTGGCCATCCTGTAACCTGCGCACTGAGGTGGTGGCTCCACAGCCAAACTTGAGGGCTCTCAGGCCTGGGACTGTCCTTGTCCAAGGACCACTCTGGGGCCTGAACCCCGGAAGGAGCAGGCAGCTGAGAGCTGGCCCCAGCAGGGGACTTCAGAACCAGGTCAGGCATCTTCCCAAATGTACCCCTGTCTGGAACTCATCAGATTTTTGAAACTCCAAATGTGTGCCTTGTGGTTTGGTCAGGAAAGGCCAATCTTGGGTGAATTTGGGGCCTGTGCCCCCTGGCTGGATGCTGGTGTGCCCTCAGCCCTTGCCCCTCCACCCTATTCCCAGGGCACTTGTCTCCACGTCCCAAGGGCTGGCGTCTGGGGTGGTGGAAATGGCTGGGGCGGGGGCCCATCCTCATTTTCCGGCATCTCTCCCTGAGGGTGTGCTAAGGTTGTGTTAGCTCTGGGTCCCTCTTGCATGTCCATGGCAAAGTCCAGAGTCCACCTGCTGCTCTGGGTGGCTGGACAGTGGCAGGCCCTGCCCTCCTCTCAGACTTCCCCAGGCCTCATCAGGCTCCTCAGCTGGAGCTGAGGTGATGGAGAGCCCAGATCTGGGACCACTTCAGGCTGCCAGCAGCTCCCAGGGCCCAACAAAGGAGCATTCATTGATCCTTGATCCTCGGCTTTTTCTTTCTTTCATTTTGTTTGTTTGTATGTATGTTTGGGTGGGGCTGGGCTGGAACCCAGGGATCCCAGTGCTAGGTAGCTGTACCGCTGAGCCCCACCCCAGCGTCCTCAGTTGTTAAAGAAAGTACATCCCAACCAGCACGGTGCTCCCAACCAGCACGGTGCGGGCCCCTCCAGAGCTGACCCACCCGGGCCATCGCCCAGGGCTGCCACTTCATATTCTTTCCAGAGAGAGCTACGCTGTGGCTTCAGAAGGCAGCTGTGCTCCCTCTTGGYGCAGCGTGAGTCCTGGCAGGATAAGTCGTATTCCCAGCTCCCAGGAAAGCCCGCGGGCTAGTGTGGGAGATGGTGCAGGGCAGCGCCTGGGGGGCCACAGGCTTCACCTCAGAACATGGGAGGGAATCAAGGATGGRTCTCCCCCAACTCCACTGGGGGTGCCAGGAGCAGCTGTACCCTTCTGGCAGGCAGGCTCAGGAGCCATGGCTCAGGCCATTCCTAGGGAACCTGGCCTCCCTCCTTGGCCACCAGAACCCACCCAGGGGTGTCTAATGACAGCTAGTTCACGTCTGAAGGCCACGCCCAGGCATGGGATCAGGCCTCGGGGCTCCTGGCTGGAAGGCCTCAGGCTCCTTCCTGCMTTCCTCCTGTGCCTGGGGTGGGGTGACTCCTCTTGGCTGCTTCCCTGCTGCGCAGATGCACCTGTTTCCAGGCCCTCCAGGGGGTTCTGGTACTCGGCCCAGAGTGGGGGTGGGTCTCACCCTGCAGACCACCGTGGGCAGCTTTATAGAAGATGACAAAACACCTCCCTCAGGGCCAAAGCAAGACCACCTGCTTGAGCCACTTGGCCACACTGGACACTTCAGGGTGTGTCTTCTGTTGCTGTCTCAGCTGAGACATCACAGGTCCGGACTCCAGGCCCTGCCCATCACACAGTTTTCCTTGTCTACAAGTGTTAAGTCCCGACCTGCCCCTCCCATGTGTGCCAAGGTGTTTCCAGCCAGCCAGAAAATTGAGTGACAGTGGTTTAGCTAACCTGGGATCAGGGACCACAGAGTTGAAACTCCCTTCCTGTTGTCCTCCATCCTGGGGGACGACTTGGGCCTCTAGGAGTTTCAAGATGGGTGAAGCCAGGCACGGTGGTGCACACCTGTAATCGCAGCAACTCAGGAGGCTGAGGCAGAGGATAGCAAGTTTGAGACCAGCCTGGGAAATTAGCAAGATCCTGTCTCAAAATAAAAGGGCTGGAGATGCAGCTCCGTGCTGGAGCACTGAGACCCTGGGTCCAATCCTCAGGGCTGAAGGAAAAAAAGGTTCCACCTGGGCCTGTGGTACATGCTGTAACCCCATCCACTCCGGAGCGGGAGGATCTCATGTTTGAGGCTTGGGCAGTTTAGCAAGACTCTGTCCCAAGAAAAAATAGAAAAAGAGCTAGGGATGTAGCTCGGTGGTAATATCCTTAGATTCAACCCCAGAACCACACACACAATAATAATAATAATAAATAAAATTTAAAAGGGTTTTAGCTGTATGTATCAAACAAAACTAAGAAACAACTAATTCTCTAGTTGGCAGACATAGGAGGTTACCAGCTTGGAGCTGGGAAGGTTGGCGTTTAGTTGTTTGTTTTTGTGGTACTGGGGATTGAACCCAGGGATTCTCTACCAGTGTTTTAGTTTTTATGCCATTCTTAACACATGGCTTCTGCCTCATAGTCCAAGATGGCTGCTTGAGCTGCAGCCATCAAATCTGCATTTCAGCTGGCAGGATGAAGGAGAAGGTAAGAAGGATATGACTCTACTTTTAAGAACTCTCAACACTTGGGTTTTGTTGGCCAGGCGGAAGGCAAAGGCCTGGGTGCAGGGGTGGGTAGGGTGGAGGAAGGAAGTCCTGGCTGCAAAAGAGGCTGGGGACTTTGGCCTTTCCTGGGAAACCAAATACGGGATGAATATCGGGGATTACAAGTAGGCCCTTGCCGCAGTCTGGCTGGGCACAAAATCACGAGCCACTCATAGCCTTGTAGATTCAAACAGCAATTCTTTATTCCCGAACTCTCACCGGCACTCTACATGCATGTTCTGGGAAAAATCCATCCTCCACCGGGCTCTGCGTACCAAATACCCTCTGAATCCCGGGAGAACTCAATGGGAACTCAAGGAGYGGGCGCCTGAGGCAGCAGGATATGCCCTATTCCCAGCAGGGTCCACCACCCTAAACCCGGATCCGCCCTAATCCCTGAGCAAGGTCACCTTTCAAATCAAAACTCTCAAACATTGATGCAATGTCACTGCAAATGACCTGGGTCCAAGGCAAGCCCATTTCCACAATGGAGAGTCCTCCCGCTAAGCAACACTGGGTAGGCTGACAAGGAAATTGCCATGCGTCATTCCTACTTGGTTATGGTTCTCAACAGGCCCTAATCTTCATCATGTGGATTAGGTCCCAACTTCCTTAATAAGACTCCTATAGCAAAGAATTAAAACCAAGAACCAATAAATGGGACGAATCAAACTAAAAACTTTTTTCTCAGCAAAAGAAACAATCTGTGAGGTGAACAGAAAGCCTACCTACATCCTGGGAGCAAATCTTTACCCCTCACACATCAGATATAAAGAACTCAAAAAGCTAAGGGCAAAAAAAAAAAAAAAAAAAAAAACCAAACCAAATAACCCCGTCAACAAATAGACCTGAACAGCCACTTCTCAGAAGAGGATATACAATCAATCTGCAAATATATGAAAAAATGCTCATCATCTCTAGCAATCAGAGAAATGCAAATCCAAACTACTGTAAGATATCATCTCACTCCAGTCAGAATGGCAGCTATTATGAAGACAATAAGTGTTGGCGAGGATGTGGGGGAAAAGGTACACTCATACATTGCTGGTGGGACTGCAAATTGGTGCAGCCAATATGGAAAGTAGTACGGAGATTCCTTGGAAGACTGGGAATGGAACCACCATTTGACCCAGCTATCCCACTCCTGGAACTATACCCAAAGGTCTTAAAAACAGCATACTACAGGGACACAGCCACATCAATGTTTATAGCAGCACAATTCACCATAGCTAAACTGTAGAGCCAACCTAGATGCCCTTCAGTGGATGAATGGATAAAAAAAAAAATGTGGCATATATCCACAATGGAATATTACTCAGCAATAAAAGAGAATAAAATCATGGCATTTGCAGGTAAATGGATAGCGTTGGAGAGGATAATGCTAAGTGAAGTTAGCTAATCCCAAAAGAACAAATGCCGAGTGTTTTCTCTGATATAAGGAGGCTGACTCATAGTGGGGTAGGGAGGGAGAACATGGGAGGAATAGATGAATTCTAGATAGGGCAGAGGAGGGGGGCAGGGAGGAGGCAGGGGATTAGCAAGGATGGTGGAATGTGATGGACATCATCATCCAAAGTACATGTAGGAAGACTCCAATTGAGTGTCAACCTACTTCATATACTAACAGAAATATGAAAATTTGTGGTATATAGGTAATAAGAATTGTAATGCAAAAAAAAGTACATGTAAAAAAAAAAGGAAATTGGGGATTACAGGGGGTGGCACCCTCCTGTGATCCTAGCAATATGGGAGACTGAAGAAGGAGAATCACAAGTTCAAGGCCAGCCTTGGCAATTTAGTGAGAACTTGTCTCAAAAAATAGAAGTGGGATGCAGCTCAGTGGTAGAGCAGAAGAGCACCCTTGGGTTCAGTCCCCAGTACAAAAGTAAATAAAATTGAGGATTATGCTACTAATAGGAGAAGAGGTGTTGGTTGGCAACCAGAAGATTCTACCCCCAAAGCCAAATGTACAAGGCTGTGATGGGGATCTGCAGACATTACCCTCCCTCAGGTCCCTCTCGGGCAGGCCCTGCTCTGGGACAGCGAGGAGCGATGGCCGTGGTTCCTGGGAGTTTGGCTCAGTCCACTAAGGGAAGGAATCTCTTCTAGCAGGTTCTTTTGAGGTGGCCTGAGCACCCTGTGGGCAAGGTGAGGTCAGGAGCTGGAAGAGAGGGTCCCTGTGTCAGGGTGACCTCGGCCTCTGTCCCCTCCAGGGTTCCCAACTTCAAGGTGCTGACCTTCCTTTGGCTGTGCGGGCAGGTGCTCTGGCTCACCCAGGTTGCTGCCTGCTTGGAGATAGGCAGTCCGGGAGCCCTCTTCCTAGGAGCCCTCAGATGATACAGACTGCTCGCAGCCTTGGTCACCTTGCTCGCACCCTGCTCACCCTCCCTGCCTCTGGGCCACCGCCTCCAAGAAGCCTTCCCTGTCCCTATGATAAAATGGGAACAAGGCTGTTCTCCCTGTGCCCTGGACAGCATGGGCATCAGCATGCCCATGTATAGCAAGAGAGAGGCTTTGCAAGGAGAGGGCTGCTGTCACTGGATTGCTAAAAGCCCTTCTCTGCACCAGAGAAGCAGATTGAGCCTTTGTTTGCCGACTGTCCTGATAACTGACAAAGGGGCTCCGTAAATATTTAATAAATGACTTGTCCTCATTGCCGCCTTGAGTTGGCTCTAGGTTTTGCTTGCGGGTGGGGGCAGAGAGCCGCGGCCACACCCTGTGCTTCAAACTCAACCCAAGCACCCTAGGCTCAGAGGAGGCAAGTCCCGTTCTTCAAGATCACCAGCCAGGAAGCACAAGGGGGAGATGAGCACTTCCTGAGGGGGGTCTCTCTAGCCTCTGCTGCTTGGAGTAAGAGGGACCAGGCAGGAAGCTTGTGGCCCTTGTTAAGTGGGTGTGTTTTACCCAGTTCCATGCTGGGCCAGGATGACCCGTTCAGGATTCCGTTTCTCTCACTGATCAGGAGGCCCCTCACCTTGGAAGGAGTCACGTTTGATTCTTATCTCCTCTCCCCTGTACCCTCCRTGGCCTAGCATGTTCCAGTCACAGGCGAAGGTCTGATGAATCAGCAAATGAAGATGATCTGTGGTGACTCACAGGGGTGTTAGGCCTGGCTCTGCCACTTACTAACCGTGTGATACTGGCAAGTTAGTTAACTTCTCTGATCTTCAGTGGCTGTGGAATGGGGACCTTAGCCCTTAGTCCTTCAGGTGAATATTGGCTGGAAGCCATCCATGACCCATATGTAAACTGAGCCATGTGCATGGACTAAAGCAATCTGGAAGCCRTTAGGAGGAAAGCTTGGTGTTGGGAATTCCCAGTAGCAACCCGGCTGGTTTGAGAAYGCCCGGTTCATGGGACTTCCTACCCAGCTCCACTGCAAGTTCAGCACAGCATCAGAGATGGGGTGACCTGCTGGAGCCACACAGCCTCTTGGAGGTGGGTGTGGCTTGCCAAAATGCCAATCAACCTGTTTACTGCAAGACCCTGCCACATGGAGAAGCAAGCACCAAACCCCACCCTTCCTCCCACTGAAACCTTGTCCAGGCTCCTCCTCTTATATCTAATATCTGGTTCCATCTCTATTTCTTACTAATTATTTCCGACTTTTATGCCCAGGTGGCTCACACCTCCTGATCAGGAACCTACCCTGGAGGGGTGCTGGTTACCCTGCAATAACTATTGCGGTAGAATTGATTTTGGATAGTGGGATTGAATCCACTAAGCCACATCCCCAAACCCCCTTTTTAAATATTTGTTTTAGTTGTTGATGGACACAATACCTTTATTTTATGTTTTYATTTTTATGTGGTGCCGAGGATCGAACTCAGTGCCTCACGCATGCTAAGCAAGCGCTCTAGTGCTGAGCCACAGTCCAGGACCCCCTGCCCATTTTTTAATATTTTATTTAGAGACCAGGTCTCCCTGAGTTGCTTATGTCCTCACTAAATTGAWKAGGCTGGCTTTGACCTCAATATCCTCCTGCCTAAGCCTCCCAAGCCACTGGGATTACAAGCATACACCACCACACCCAGCCAGAGAATATTTTTAAAAGGTAGAAAGGAGACAAAAGAAAGAAAAAGGACATTATATCTCTAATCTGAAGGACTTGTTCCAAAATTCGTACCTTTTATCCCCAAGCTAGTTCTCTCTCCCAGTCCTGTCACTCCCACATTTCTGRAAAATCTACAAATCTTCACGATGGTCTTTTACTTGTGTATTTATTCCTGTACTGAGGATTGAACCAGGGGTGCTTTGTCACTGAACTACATTCCCAGCCCTTTATTTTTAAGTTTTGAGACAGGATCTCACTAAGTTGCTGAATCTGGCCTTGAACTTGTAAGTAGCTGGGATTGTAGGTGTGAAGTTGTAAGGGTCCAGCGAAGCGTTGGAGAAAGAGACCACCAAGAGACCACTCATGCAATTGGCAGAAGGGGATTTATTGAACTAGCATGCTGGGGCTCCGTGCCCACTCAAGAAAGGAGAGCAGCCCAGAGCCCCGGGCAGGGGTTGAGCAGTGCTTAAGTACACTTTTTGGGGAGGGTGGGGGCTTTGCATACATCACAGTCTCTTTTAACAAATCACCATACACCGCGGGAAAATCAAACAATAATTCTTAGAYTTGATTAGTACATTCATTGGCGGGAACAGGCTGGGCAGGGGTGATTGGTCACTTCTAAGCGGGGTACACATTCAAACTGATTGGTTTTGGGGCCTGGATGCCTACRTGCCGGGCTACATAGAGCCCTAAGTTATTAAACAACCAAATGACCAGTAGGGCATTGTCTTAACTGCCTCAGGAGTTTAACCCAGGCTTTGCAGTTTAGAAGCAGGTTTACAATGCCTGGTCCTTTACATTTTAACTTTAGGCTTTTCGACTTAGAAACGTTACCCTTTCAAAGTCACTGGGAATTTATTCACTTTTGAAAATTTCCCTGTGCACTATTAATTATCCACAGATATAGGTATTTTTAGAATAGATTGAGAAAAAAGAGAAACAAAACTTGCTATTGGGGCACTTTCCCAGTGTTATCTATTGATCAGATAGTGGAGAAGATGCCAACCTAAGAGTCCTGAAAGTGCCAGACTGCCACCAACAGTCTTGTCATCACCAGGCTGATGTCCCCATGAATCTTCCCACCACACCCATCGCCAGGTTTCCTTTAAAAGAAGAGCCTAAGATCCCAAAAGCACACATTGCTCTCCACCCACACATTCCCAAATTCTCTGTTGAACATGAATTCCTTGCTTTCCTAAGTAACTTTCTGTACCTTCATATCTGACACTTGACAACTCTTTTCAGTCACTATGTCAAGGACAACATCCTGCACTGAGGTCCCCTTCTCCAGGACCTCCTTGGACTCCCTTGGTAGGTGACACTGTCTTCTTGAATGTCAGGGCATGGTGCAGGAGCCTGTATGCAGACAGTACAGATCAAAGGTCAGCGTCAAAGTGGGGAGGGCCTGAGCTCCAGTTGGTGGAAATGTGGAGTGGAGGTTGAAGCCTTCCTGCAGGGATGTTTGGTGGTCCCCAGGCCACAACTGCAATGCTGTGTTAGTTCTGTGCATCTGTTTGGTATTTACTGGGTGCCTATTCTGATACACTTCAGTTTTTTTTTGTGTGTGTGTGTGTTTTTTTGTTTGTTTGTGTTTTTTTTTTGGTTTGTTTGTTTGTTTGTTTTGTTAGACGAGGGATGGGGGGTGGAGGAGGTGGTACCAGGGATTGAACTCAGGGGCACTCAACCACTGAGCCACATTCCCAACCCTAKTTTGCATTTTATTTAGAGACAGGAGGGTCTCACTGAGTTGCTTAGTGCCTTGCTTTTGCTGAAGCTGGCTTTGAACTCGCGATCTTCCTGCCTCAGCCTCCGGAGCCACGTGCAAACTGTTTGTTTTCATTCTCATAGGTACTATTACATATCCTGTTCCAAAAGCAGGCGCAGAGGTGAAGTCTCGGCTAAAGCGGGCTTAGGGCACTGTGGCCTGAATAAACCAAAGAGAAGATCCACCGTGCCAGCTTCGTGGGCCCCCTGGGAACCGCGCCTGGGAGGAGATGCTGCTGCCCAGGCGGAACGTGCSGAGTCCCGCGCTCCTAGGCAGCGGGGCACCGCCCGCCTCCGCCCCGCCCCTCGTCTTCGGCTGGTCCAATCCCACGGCCTTCATGTAAATGAGGCTCTGAGAGCGAGCCTACCACCGCCCGGCAGCGTTTTGATTCATTGTTAAAATGTAAAGGCCGTGACCCTGGTACTCGCACCCCGCAGCCCCAGTGCGTGGAAACCCGAGCCCAGGTGAGCGTCGAGCGAGCGGTGGAAAAAGGGCGGCTGGGGAGGGGAAGGGGGCTGAGAGATGCGGGAGGAGCTGGCTGCCGGCATGGATGGAGAGAGGTCCAGGGGTCCATTCTCCGGGTGGGGCAGGCGTGGCCACTTACGGTTTTCGTTGTTAAATATAAAGTGCATCTTAGAGAAAGATTCTGCCAACTGATTGAGGGTAGGGGAGAACGGAGCAGCTGGGGGCACGTGGAATAGAGCCCCCCACCCCGCCCCCAGGGAAATGAATGGCGTTCTCCGTCCAAGGCGGTACTCCTTTATGTGGACCAACCGGGAAAGAACCGCCCAGGTGGTGCGGAGCATCTGTCCACCGTCGGCCACAGGGAGCGAGGCAGGGAGATGACTGCCCCGTAAAGATCCGAGGCTCCTATGCCACGGGCGGGCTAGTGGGTACCCCACCCTGTCCCCTCTGCGGTCCTCTCTCCTGGGGAGGAGATGGAGCCTTCCCCTGCTGCCCCCGTGGAGACATGAAATTCCACAGCTCTCAGCTGAGATTGACAACAAAGGCCTGATCCCTTGGGAGCTTTGGAGGAAAGTCACCAGGTCCGGTAAGTGTGGGGTGGCAGGGGGAGCCTTAAGGTGTTTGTGTGTTTGGAGTCAGATGTCGCCCCTGCCGTCCTGGTCTCCTTACCGGTGGGGAGGGCTTCTTCCAATCCCTCTCCTGACCCAGCTTTGTTTCCAGAGGCTGAACATTGGAGCCCTGGGCTCAGGTCAAAGCATCAGGGTTTCTTTCCCGTAAGCTCTGTCACAAACTTGCTGTGTAATCTTAGGCTGTTTACTTTTGTTTAAGACTTAGTCCTCAACCCTAAAAACACCTGGGTARCCTTTCACCTCTCCTTGTGTTTCCCAAGTGAACTGTGTAAGCTGTCAGTGTGACCCTAGGGCCCTTCGATTCCACCTCCAAGAGAGTGGGGCGCACACTGACCTGGATTTGAATTCCGCTCAGCCACAGCACCTTGCCTGTCAGGGAACCTCTCTGAGCTCTAGTTGTCCCATCTGAAATTAGCATGAATTTGAACTGCAATGCCAGGATTGCTATAAAAAAGGTATTAAAATTTGGGGGTGCTTGCTGGAATCTCCCACGGGAATTGTTTAAAAGACATACCCCCAGGCCTCACCTCCTAGAGATTCTGACTGAGTGAATCAGGAGAAGGAATAGGGAATCTGCATTTTTTTAAGAGATAAGGGTCTTTCTATGTTGCCCAGTCTGATCCTGAACTCCTGGATTCAAGCAAGCCTCCTGCCTTGGCCTCTTTAGCAGCTGGAAATCTGTATTTCTTTATGAGCAGACCAGGATTGTGTAACGTAGGGTCCTTGGAACACACTTTGAACAACACTGTAGTGAGGGCTAAAAATTCACAGGTCAAATACTTGGCAGTGTGCCTGGGTGCTTAGGTATTGAGGAGTGTTTACTGAGTGAATAAACGAACATGAGCGGATGGATAGCCACGGATCCTTGGTCCTCGTCCGGCCTGGAGACACGGGGGCTAGGGTCTGAGTGGGTGGCTCGTCAGTCATCTGGTCCTGGAACTACTCCCCCTTTCTCCCCAGGCCCCTTCTAGAAGGTCAGCCAGTGGCTCACAGGAGCTGCCCTGGCCTGGCTCACCCAACATGGAGCATGAGGCTGAGAAGGTCTCCTGGGAACCCTTCCAGGCCACTATGCTTACCCAGAGCTGCTGTCAAAACTGCCTCCACCCTGAGGAGGCCCATGGAGCAAGACACCAGGTGAGTGGCTTTCCTGGGTGGCTGGGGTGGTTTGGGATGGGGGAATCACAATGCCTGGCCATGAACTTGAAGTTGAACCCAAATACTTCCTTCTGGCCAGCACCTCAGTTTACCTGTCGATACAATGAGGTGGCTGAGGGGCTGGGGATGTGGCTCAAGCGGTAGCGCGCTCGCCTGGCATGCGTGCGGCCCGGGTTCGATCCTCAGCACCACATACCAACAAAGATGTTGTGTCAGCCGAGAGCTAAAAAATAAATATTAAAAAATTCTCTCTCTCTCTCTCCTCTCTCACTCTCTCTTTAAAAAAAAAAAAAAAAAACAATGAGGTGGCTGAACCATGTTGATGTTTTAAAATCTTTAGTCATTTTCCTCCAGTTTTTGATTTTTACCATAGCTTCATCTAATCTATTACTTATCTTAGATTAAAATCTTTTGTGGGGGGATAATGGGGATTAAACCTAGGGCCCTGTGCAAGCTCTACCTCTGAGCTGCACTCCCAAACCCAAAATCAACATCTTTTTTTCACTTATATGAGACAAAACTTTACACCACCACCACAAATAAGAAATTAWGACCAGGGCCTAACCCGATGTGTGGCACACACCTGTAGTCCCAGTGTCTCTGGAGGCTGAGAGGAGGATTGTGGGTTCAAAGCCAGTCTCAGCAACGGCAAGGCACTAAGCAACTCGGTGAGCCCCTGTCTCTAAATAAAATACAACATAGGGCTGGGGACGTGGCTCAGTAGTCGAGTGCCCCTGAGTTCAATCCCCAGTACCCTCCCCCAACAAAGAAGGCAGGTTAGCAGATATTGGGTGTTAAAACTACCCCAGAACCTGCCAAAGACTTTCTTCCTGAAGCTGCTGCGAGAGCGAAAGGGTCTTGGTTTTCTTACTCTGCRGTTGGTGTGTCCGATGCCAAGCCCCTGTAGGGTAATCCCAGAGCGCCTGGCACACGCACCCCGGGAGGCATGGGGCTCCTGGATCTCCAGGGGCCCTTCCAGCCTTGACCCCCTCTGACTTCGTCATTCCCTGTGGGGTCTGAGGCTCCTCCTGAGCCTGGCAGTGAGCTTCTTGCAGGGGTTTAGATCTGAAAGCGGCCGTAGTGGAGGGTACTCTTCGGTTTAGGAGCCAGCAGGCTGCAGGCGCAGTCCTGGGGTTACCATTTAACGGCTGTGTGGCCTTGGGCCCTTTACGTTCTCTGGCTTTCTGTCCTCATGGGTCCATGGGGGCAGCAGGCTCCTCACTCTGGATCGCTGCCAGTACTTATCCCAAGCCGCGTGGGGCCCATTCAGTACATGCAGCTTCTTCTTTACCCCCTTCCTGACCAGAGAGGTAAGCTTGGAGGCTCCTTTACAGCAGCCTTGATACCTCCAGCTACAGCTGCCACCTTGTCCCTGAGGACAACAGATGCACGAAAGTCCGTCTCCCATGCTAGTGGCCTCCTCCCAGTGGGTGGGGAGAGCCAGTGTGGATTCAGACAGGTGTGAGTTCCAGCATCAATCTCACCTATTCTCAGCAAAGAGCTCAAGTCAACTCACATATTTATTCATATTGAATAGGTGCGTAAAATGTGCCCGCCATGGTGCTGGATACTGGGGACATAGTGATAAATAAGACAGACATATTCCTGCTTTGTGGGGCTGATAGTCAGGGAAATGGAGAGTCAGAAATTCTGCATGTGATTATTTAGTCATGGTTGTGATAAGTGCCATAAGTAATAGCAAGTGGCAGAGGGTAAATGATGGCACATGGGGAAGGTTTCCCTGGTGACACTTGGCTGCTAGGRAAAGGCTTGCAGGCATTAGCCATCGAAGTTGGGGAAGTGCAGAGGAAGGCAGTAGTACTACTGTATGTGCAAAGGCCCTGAGGCAGAAAGGAGGAGGCATATTGGTGGACTGGAGAGTGGTAAGCGAGAGGGAGGGACACTGAAGCTACAGGATGAAGCTGGATGGAAAACGGGCGGAGCCTGGGTCTCACCAGGTGGGGCCTCATGTGGCTTTGTGGACCCGCTGAGGATTTTTGGATTTTGTTCTGACAGTCATGGGGATTCACTGAGGAATTTAAATAAAAAAGTGACAGTGAATGKTTTTCGATTTGCATTTTTCAGAGTCACTGTGATTTCTGGGCAGAGAATGAAGTGCTGAGAGGCAGGAATGAATCAGGGACCAGTGAGGAAAATGTGCSAGTACCCATTTGTGCCAGAGAGGACGGGGCTTTGGGGTGGTGACAGAGGACGCCCTGGAGAACTAGCTGATAATCTGGGTGTGGGGGAGGGAGAAGCCCTGGCTGACCCCTCATTATTTCCGTGGGCAGCTACTTGGGGTGGAGGTCCGCGTGGAGCTGCTGGTGCACCTGCAGGCACGGTGGAGGCGGGAGGCTGCTGAGGACCAGGGCTGCACTTAGCGTCAGACCGCAGCAGGAGATGGAGCCGTGCCCATCTTTGGGGTCTGGCTCCAACAAAAGTCTTGGGCGGAGTGTGGGGTGGGAAGAGGAGAGGCCCCCGGGGCCAGGACACAGCTGTTTCTAGACAAGCACTGGCCACTGAATCCAGCTTTTAGCCCCAGGTAACAGGAGGCAGAGAATCCTGGAGGACAGAGACRCGCAGCCCATGATGGAAGGCAGACACCAGAGTGTGGCCTCCTCCCAGCAGCCACAGGTGGAGTGGGTTTCATGACCAGAGAAGGGTACTGGTGCCAAATCCTTTAGTTTCCAGTTGCTCCAATGACAAGACCCCAAGGTGTGAAACTCCCCTGAGCCTCCCAGGGCTGAGCCTGGCCGTGGGACCCAGCTCAATGGAGGACAGAATTCTTGTGTAGCAGATGTAACAGGAAAAACTGACCTTAAAGTGGCTGTGCCTGGGATCCCAGCTACCCGGAGACCCAGGCAGGAGGATCAAGGCCGGYCTTGGTAAGTTAGCAAGACCCTGTTCCAAAATGAAGAAATCAAAATATAAAGAACTGGGATGCAGCTCAGCGGTAGGGCGCTTGCCTAGCATGTGCAAGGCCCTGGATTCCATCTCCAGCACCAAACCAAACAAAATACAAACAAACCTCTTGGCCCCTGAGATTTCAAACATGTGAAACGGAAAAGCCTCTGTTAGAAAGCACCTCCAGTCTGAGGGACTGAAGTTTCCTGCCAGACTTCTAATCACAGTGGGCTCAGAGACGCAGGGCCAGGTCCACTATGACATCTTCAGCTACTCTAGAATAGGTGTCAATGGCCATGTCCCAGGGTGTCCCCATCATCACCAAGAATGACCAACTGCTGACCAACTGGTCAACAAGGAATCCTTGGAATCCAGCTCCCACAGGCCCCTGGCTCCGGATTCCTGTCCCTCTGTTCACAGCTGAGTCTCCCAGAGGTTGAGAGCCAGGGGAGGGGTCACATGACCTTGTCCAGGTCACAGCCAGGTGCCGGGGGCAGGCAGTGGAAGGTGGGTGGCTGGGTGCTCGGGTCCTGCCCTTCCACAAAGTCTTGATTGCATTTAGCATTACTCTGACAATTGCCCGCGTCTACAGTTTATTTAATGCTCTTTCGTTGTTATTTACTTACGATGGGAAAGGGCAGATGCTGTTGAGCCCTTTACAGATATTGACTCATTTAATTCTCCTGGCAGCCCCTAGGACGTGGCTCAGGCCAGTTCTGCATGACATAACTGAGGCACAGAGAGGGCAAATCATGGCCACGATCCTGGGCATGCCTCCCTCTGCCTGCACTACAGAGACAAGGCCCTGGTGAGGCCACTGGCTGGGAAGTGGAGGAGCCCAGMCAGGACGCAGGTCTCAGACTGAAGCCCGCGCTGATCCCCCAGACAGGCAGTCAGAGTGGGGACTGCCTGCCGGCCTGGGGAGTGGGCAGTGGGTGTGATGGGTTGGGGTGAYAGTGGGAGCAGGTGCCATGCCAGGCTGAGGTGCTGCTGAGCCAGGACCCTTGGTAGTGTCCAGCAAGCCACTCCCACTTTTTCATGCTGCACTGTCCCCTGGGTGGCCAAGGCGCCGGGCCCGGCTGTGGATCTGACACCTCCTGCTGCCAAGCGCTGATCAGATCAGAATCTGGCTGYGGGGCAGGGGGTGGAACTGATCCCCTCGGCGGCCTCTGCTGGAGTCGCAGCCGACACCTCAGCACTCCCAGGCCCTGCCGGGGGTGACTTTCCTGGTCCAGGAAAGCCTGTGCCCACCTGGGGCACTGATCAGGCCGCAGCCTCKGCCCTGGACTCCAGTCCCAGGGTCCCCAGGGAGCCCCACCCAGGCTCCCACCCGCCCTGGCTCTCAGGTGAGCCGCTGGGATCGGGTTCCTGGGTCTCATGTGCCCCATTGTTCTTGGCTGGGCCCTGGCTCATGAAACAGTAATGAGGGGCCCCTGCTCCCCGCCGGCCCCTCTAAGGTTTCCGCTGCCTCTGCTCCTGCCGCCACGGCCCAGAGTCGGGCCGGGAGGGCGGCAGTGCGGGGGCCCGAGCTGGAGCCCCCCGGGGACGAGGGTGCTGACAGCCGCCAGCCGCTGCTGCTACCACAGGAGCCGCTGCCCAGGTAACCCGAGAGGAGGCGGGGCACGGGTGCCATGGCCGGGTGTCCCACCACCAGGGGAGGCCCTGCCACTCCAGGCAGCCGGAGGACTGGGGGGGCCCTGGTGGAGGCGAGCCGCTGCTGTTCCCCCTGGGTGAGCCCAGCTCCAGGGCCCAGGTGTGGCCGTGCTGAGGCCAGGAGGGGAGAGGAGTACGAGGGCCATGGCCCTCGCCACGCCTGGGGCCCCATCCTCCTGTCCTGAGCCCCTGCCTCCTGTCCTGAGCGCCTGGCCCTGAGCCCCTGCCTCCTGTCCTGAGCCCCTGCCTCCTGTCCTGAGCCCCTGCCTCCTGTCCTGAGCCCCTGACTCCTGTCCTGAGCCCCTGACTCCTGTCCTGAGCCCCTGACTCCTGTCCTGAGCCCATGCCTGGCCCTGAGCCCCTGCCTGGCCCTGAGCGGGGCAAATCTCTTCTCTCCTCTGAGATCTCGCTTCCCATCTCGGCCACCAGACCAGCTCTTCTCCCCACAGACCTCTCCCTGTTTGCCAGGCCAGGCATCCTGCACCTGCCTTCTGGCCACCAGAGGCCCTTTTGGGTCACTTCTGTTTCTCAGACAYGCACGCACTGAAACACCCCTGAATGAACTGCGTGCGCTCACACAGGCACACGCCCKGCGCCCCTAACTCTCTGTGCGCACACGCACCTTCAAGAGTCCCATGCACACGTGTGCACGCCACACACACACCTTAAGAACACACACCTGAGCCTAGGCCCGCTGTGTACACACCCTGCCAGCCCCAGCCGGGTCCCTAGGGGCAGCCTCGTGCAGCAGCAGGCGCTCCCTGAGGACATGGCTGAAACCCACCCCTCCCCGTGGCCTCSTGCGGGAGGCACTGAGCCCTCTCTCTCCTGCTCTGCCTCAGGAGCTGGGGAGCCCTTCCAGCGTTGAGGCGYCCTACTGCGACCTGCCCCGCTGCCCGCCAGCCCCTGAGGACCCGCTCAGCGCCTCCACCTCCGATTGCCAGGGGCCCAAGAGGTGGGTAGAGCCCAAGGACCAGGGAAGGCTCCCTGGGGTAGGGTGGCCTCACCACCCCTCCTGCACTCTCCATGGGACAGCGTCTGCCTGATGCTGCTGAAGGGTCACGTGGGGAGTCCATGCTCTGGGCACAGGCAGGCAGGAGGCATGCGCCTCAGCCCCACAGGAGAACTTGGACCAGACTGTCCCTTTGGGGTCCTGGGTCTCTGAGCCTACTGTCCCCAGCCCTGGCTGTCTTTCCTGAGGGTCCTACCCACTCGCTAGTTCCCTAGCTCAGCTTCTCTCCAGGGGGCGGCGGCCATGCAGAGGAGGCCTGCGCTTAGCCTGGCCGGGCACCAGCTGTCACCCTCCCTCCTGGCTGTGCACTGCGCCAGTCTCTGGATTCCCTCCACCCCAGGCCTGCGCTCCCCTGGACTCCCCTGGACCCCGTGTGGGGTCATGGAACCTGGGGAGGCCATGACTTCAGGATCCAGAAACCTGGGTCCCAGCTTCTGGTCTGTCCCTCAGAGGCTGGGGGACCTCCGGCAAGTTGATCCATCTCTCTGGGCCTCACTTTCTTTGTAAAATAAGAGGGACAGGTCAGGGCTGGGCGCATCTCAGTGGTAGGGTGCTGGCCCAGCACATGTGAAGTTCTGGTTCCATCCCAGCACCGTGTGTGTGTGTGTGTGTGTGTGTGTGTGTGTGTGTGTGTGTGTGTGCGTGCGCGCCTGCGCACACGGTGCAGAATCAAATGGCCTTGCTTGGAAACATGTGCTCCTCACAGTAGGCTTTGCTTTTACTTATTCTTTCATTTTTTATGGTCCTCGGCCCTTGCTGAGCAAGAGCTCTATTGCTGAGTTACTTCCCTCACCCCAAGGCGTTATTTTAAAGAAAAGCTYGGCTTTCAAATACATTTCAGAAACCCTGGGAGAGGGGAAGTCGAATGGTTTCCCAGCAGGACTTTTAGTTTGTAGGCATGCATCTGCAAGGCAGTACGGGGTGGGTTTGGGTGGGGGAGGCAGAGACATGTGTTCTGCCCCAAACTTGACTATAGAACTCTTTTGGAGTCATCACTCATTACCAGCCTGTAGGTCAATCTGTGTGTCCCCATCTTGAAAGACGTCAGCTACAGGCCTCCTTGGGTCATGGCTGCCCTGACTGGCTTCTCTAAACTAAAGCAAGGTTTTTCTCTGCAGCTCTTGCCCCACAGTCTCCCACCTCCCCGCAGTAGTCCAGCATGAGTCTATCGTCTTATTCTTGCTGAGCCTGGAGTCCCCACTCCTGCTCTAGTGACAAGGGTTTGGAGCCCAGGCAATTGTCCTGGTTCACAATCCAGCTGTCCTTTTCTGGCTGTGTGACTGTGGCCAATATCTTGACCTCTCTGAGTCACATTTCCTTCATCTATAAAATGGGAATCATTGTACTTCAAAGGGAGGCTGTGGTCGCACAGCTCATGAAGCCCATGGTGGCTCCCTGTCTGCAGTGACAGCAGATCCCTGGCCCCTGTAGAGTGTGTTCCCGTGTTCATCTGGGCGGAGGAGTGCTCCCTAATTCCCTATTACTTTTGGGGGGAAAGTCATGAGTGTCTCCTGTCCCAGGGGCCTGTCCCTGWCAGCAGGGCTTCCTGAGGAGGACCCCACAGCTGCCCCCAGGAGCAGGCACCAGGAGCTGGAGGCAGTGCCCTATCTGGAGGGCCTGGCCCCCTCCCCGAGTGGCAGCTGCTACGAGGACCCCAACTCTGACACCAGCTGCAGCCCTGGCACTTCCACCCATGACACCAGCAGGTSGTCCTCTGTGGTGAGCTGGGGGCTGGAGACAGAGGGAGAAGAGAGGATCCACCCCTGAGCCCAGCCCGTGCCTCACAGCAGGAACTGGGAGGGTCTCCGGGCAGCCCCAGGGGCAGCTGGGCCTGGGTCGGTGGGGACGGAGGTGGTTGACTAGGCTCAGTGAGTCACCCGCCGGCCCAGGCTGCCAAAGCCTCTCGGGTCCCAGAGGGCTGGGATGTGGGCGCTGTGTCCACAGCAGGCCTGGGGCTGGGCCCTGTCACAGCTGCTGAGCCCATGGCCACTCTTGGCATCGGTTTCCAAGGACAGGACAGGGTCCTCCCGGCAGGGACTGGGCCCTCCAGCGGTGCGGGAGCAGGCCTGGAGTCCTCTCAAGCTCTCCCGTGGAGGGGCCGTGGGGGGGCAGAGGAGGCTGGCCTGTCATGAGACTGTCCCTCAGARGAACCTGGCGGGGAGTGACAGGCTCAGCCTAACACCCCAGCAGGTACCCCCCAGGTGGCCCGGGCTATGTGCAGGGCTGGGGGCTCCACCTCCCTCTGTCCTGGAGATGGCCATGGCCACTAGAGCCACACAGGGGAAGTGACAGGGCTGGGATCTGAGCCCGACCTCCTGGCTGCGGGTTTGGACAGACTCTGGGCTCTCCRGCTGCCTGCTGGCCCGGGTTGCAGGGAGGTGGGCGAGGGCACTCAGTGGGCACCTTCAAGGTCAGTGCCTTTGGCGTCTTGTGCTGGGACTGCAGGCGGGGGCCGCCTCCCCCCACCCAACACGGCTTTGTCCTCCCTTTTCCTGGTAGGACTGCGACACTGTTGAGAGGTGGGCGGAAGTCCCCAGCCGGGACCTGCTCGCGATGATCCCGCAGAGGCCCCAGGAGGGGCAAAGAGCCGAAGGTGCCCGAAGGGCCACCAGGTCCCCTACAAGAGGAGACACTGCAGGCCAGAAAAAGGATGGTGAGTCCTTCTATCAGGCTAGTCCCCGTGACCATGGACATGGTAAGGACCTGGAGTTCCCCAGATAGCCACTCACTGGCAAATGGGCCACGGGCAGGGCTGACTTTGGTGAYCTGAGTCCTAATAATAGTAAAGTTTCTGTGGAATTAGGGACAACCATGATGGGCAGGCTGCCTGATTTAAATACATCATTTCACAACCAGGTTGGGATCCGTAAGTTGCAAGGAAAGAAACTGGTTGAACATGAATGGAATGACTCACATAAATAAAAAGCCTCAGGGGTGTGACTTCAGGCATGGCTGGATCCAGGTGTTCAGCAGCATCAGGAAATTGGCCTCTGCTTGGCTTTCTTCTGAGGTGGTTCCATCCTTAGATAGAACCTCCCCTGACCCTGGCATGATGGCCACCGSTGTGTAGGTGTGTCCCACCAGCTCATCAGCTTCCTTAGAAGGAGGGTCCAGTCTTCTCTAACCTGGGGCTAGTCTCAGGAAGGGTTCTCGCTGGGACTCAGGATGGAGGATGTGCCCACCTGGTGACCAGGGTCAGCTTCTGATGAACCTCGTGGCCTTCGATATGGGGAAAGGAGAGAAATGAGGATGACTGTTCCCAGAGAGGGGAGGGGCTGYCATCAGGCGGAGCCCACAGGGGCCGAGCTCACCAGACACGTGCCCAGGATGCTGCATCCCAGAGTGTGAGCCCTCGCTGGATCGCCACTGCTCTGCGTCTCCTTGTCTCTGTCTTCAGCAGGGGCAGGATTTGAGGTTAGGCGGCCAGAGCATCTGCGTTTGAGCTCCAGTGGGCAGTCCATGGGGCCAGGGGTCTGGAAGGTCAGGTGGGGTTTTCACTGAGCCCCTGGTTTCTTGCTCCTAAACATATTGTGGGCCSGATGTGGWGGCGCACACCTGTAATCCCAGGAACTAGGAAGGCTGAGGCAGGAGGATCACAAATTCAAGGCCAGCCTCAGCAATTTAGCAAGGCCCAAAGCAACTTTGCAAGACCCTGTGTCAAAATAAAAATAAAAAGGGCTGGGGATGTGGCTCAGCGGCTAAGTGCCCCTCTGCTCAATCCCTGATACTAAAAAAAAAGAAAAAACCCCACCTTACAACATGGGTGGGCAGCCTCGCCCTGTGCCCAACTTCATCAGAAGTGGACACCACTGTCCACCTGGTGGCCTCTTCCTACATGCCAGGCCAGGGGCCAAGGCCCAGGACTTGGCCAACTCTGGGATGCTGAGGGCTCCGCCCTCCACTCTCTGAGCTCTTGCCTGTTTGCAGAGCTCACCAGGTAGGCAGGGGACACAGAGCCCAACGGACACGCAGGCTCCTACCCCATTGTGGTCACTAAGGGGCTTGGGAGTGAGGGCGACCCTGGAAGGGCCAGGCGCCAGGCTACTTCAGATGGTGGGAAGGAGCTGGGCCCCCTGCAGGGGCAGCTCGGCCAGTGCCCACTCTCAAAGGACAGGGACCCCAGGCCCAAGCACAGCTAGAGCTGGAGGTGGCAGCACAGCGTGTACTGTGCACCTACTGTGTGCTGTGCACCTACTGTGTGCTGTGCACCTACTGTGTGCTGAGCGCTTTTCCAAGCCCCATCCCCAGAGCGAGGCCCTTCCTGAAGAGAGCTTGCTGGGGAGGAAGCAGGGGACCAAGTGAACGAGACCATGTGAGGAGGTGACCCAGGGCTGCTCCCGGTGACAGGGGCGCCTGAAGGAACCAGCCAGGTGAAGAGGGGCGYGCTTCAGGCAGAGGCAGCAGCAAGAGCTGGGGTGGTGAGGTGTCTGTGGCGTGTTCCAGGATCCCAAAGGTAGGCAGGTGCGGAAGCTGCCGTGGGGGTGGGGGGGGGCAGAGCCAGCCTGGCGTCGGAAATTGGGGATTTTATTCAAATGCAGTAGGAAGCCCTTCTCTCTGTCTCTCTCTCTCCCTCTCTCCCCCTTCTCTCTCTCTCTCTCTTTCTTTCTAACTTCCTGTTTTGAAATACTCTTAAATTTATTYGAGGGCCTGGGGTTGTGGCTCAGTGGTAGAGCACTCAGCTAGCATTCATGGGGCACTGGGTTCGATCCTCAGCACCACATAAAAATAAAATAAATATATTGTGCCCACCTAAAACTAAAAAATAAAATTTTAAAAAATAAAAAAAAAATTGTGGTTGGGGATACAGCTCAGTGGGTAGAGTGCTTGCCTTGCATGCACAAGACCCTGGATTCCCAATCCCCAGCAACCCCCYCAAAAAATAAAATTTATTTGAGAGTTACCCGGATGGTATGGGAGGTGTATTATGCCTTTTGCCCTGGTTCCCCGGATGTTGGCATTGAATATGGCCACAGTGCAGTGATCTGAATTAAGAAATGAACACAGCGAGGGCTGGGGAGGTAGGTAGAGCACTCACCCAGCGTGTACAAGGCCCTGGGTTCCATCCCCAGCACAAAAAAGAAAAGAGCCGGGCGCAGTGGGGCCTCCCTGTAATCCCAGCAGCTTGGAAGGCTGAGGCAGGAGGATCCTGAGTTCAAAGCCAGCCTCAGCAACTCAGCAAGACCCTGTCTCTAAAAAACATATAAAAAAGGGCTGCGGATGTGGCTCAGTGGTTAAGTGCTTCTGGGTTCAATCCCTGGTACCAAAAGATGTTGATTAGTTAATTAATGAACGCTGGGGTGTGACACTATTAACTAAACTACACACTTCACTGGGAGCCTCTCGTTTCTCTTCTAGTAGCCCTTTATGTCCACTCTAGCATCCCACATGGCATCAGCTGCCAGGTCTCCTCTGTGTCCTCTCTGGGACAGCTTCCTGGTCTTTCATCCTCCCCTRCAAAACTGTGAGCAGAGGGATCTGGTCATTTTGCTTTGGAAAGGATCTCCCTGGGGAAAACCGTGACATTGGACCCAAAGAACACATGCCCGTGCTACTGCAACCACCCAGGCGAGGACCGGCAGTGGCAGGGTGGAGGGGAGGCTGGAGATGAGAGAAGCTGGTGGGTCTGGACYGCGCTCAGCATGGCCCTGGAGCATCAGCCCATCTGGAACAGCAGTGCTAGGGATCCAGATTTAGGTGACACCCGCGTAGCAAGGGTGGAGGGGACGGAGCTGAATGCAAAGGAGAGGGGACGTCCAGGAAGGCAGTTGTGGTTCCTTCAAGACAAGACCACAGTGCTGSTCACCTGAGCACCAGCCCGGGGACACAGCTGGTGGCCAAGGAATCAGAGGGGTGGAGGTGACACCAAGGTCATGGCAATGCCATCATGGGCGGGGGTGGGAAGAGGTAACTGTTGAGGGAAGTTCATTGGTCCCTAGACCAGCGCTTCTGAAGCTCTGAGGTGCCTAAGTCGTCTGGAATCTGGTCAATGCTGAGGGTGCACATGGGGCAGGGCCTGAGGTTGTGATTCCCTGTAGACAGCCAGTGCTGGGCGGGGCCTCCTGAGCTGGAAGAGCTGGCAGGCACAGGGAACAGGAGCCCTCTAGAGTGTCACACACAGGAGGCTCCTTAGAAGACATCAGAGCAACTCGCCGGAACCCCCTCTGCAGGAAGCAGAACTGGACGGGGAGTTGTGCAGTGGCTTCAGGCCTGGCGCCCCCTGCTGGCGAGCGAACCTGGCTTTGATTTCAAATCCCAGCCCCAGAGGAGAGGGAGGTCCAGCCAGCCTCGGTCAGGGGTGCAGTCCTCATGGAGAGGAGCAGGGTCTGCCCCCATCATGGGTCCCTGGGGACAAAGAAAGAKAGGGTGTGGGGACTGGCCTGGCGCCCTCCTCACCTTCACCTTCTGCGTCTCCCTCCAGATTCGGGCGCTGGGAGCCGCTGTGCAGCACAGCACTGGGCCAAGCTCCGGGGAGAAGGCCGGTACTTCTCCTTGGAGCGACAGCACTCAGCCCCTGCCCAGGCTTCCTCTGCGACACCACAGCACAGACCTCACAGCGCCACCACCCGGGCCTCTGCTCAGGCTGCTTCTGCACAGCGCGAAGCCCCCCGGGCCTCCTCTCCCCACCGAGTCGCTCAGAAGGACAACCCTAGGCCCTCTTCCACCCAGCAGGACACCCCCAGGGCCTCCTTCACCCAGCGGAMTACCCAGGCGACKTCACTGCCYGCCAGAGTAAGCCCRCGGGCTAGCCCCGGAACCTCATCCWCCCAAGGAAGCCGTCCTCAACCGTCCTCTCCCCTCAGAGCTGCCCTGGAAGACAACCTCGGAACCTCTACCCAACAGGACAGCCCACAATCGTCTGTTCCCACTTCTCAGCGGGAGACCCCCAGGACATCCTGTGCCCAGAGGGACAACCCCAGAGCCTCCTCCCCGAGCAGAGCCACCCAGCGGGACAACCCCAGAGCCTCCTCTTCCAGCAGAACCTCCTCTCCGAGCAGAACCACCCAGCGGGACAACCCCAGAGCCTCCTCTCCCAGCAGAACCTCCCAGTGGGACAACCCTACAGCCTCCTGTACCCAGAGGGACAACCCCAGAGCCTCCTCCCCGAGCAGAGCCACCCAGCGGGACACCCCCAGAGCATCTTCCCCCAACAGAACCACCCAGCGGGACAACCCCAGAACCTCCTCTCCCAGCAGAACCACCCAGAGGGACACCCCCAGAACCTCCTGTGCTCAGCGGAACAACCCCAGAACTTCCTCCCCGAGCAGAGCCACCCAGCGGGACACCCCCAGAGCCTCCTGTGCTCAGCGGGACAACCCCAGAACTTCTCCCAACAAAGCCACCCAGAGGGACAACTCCAGAACTTCCTGTGCCCAACGGGACAATCCCAGAGCTTCTTCTCCCAACAGAACCACCCAGAAGGAAAGCTCTAGAACCTTCTGTGCCCAATGGGACACCCCCAGAACCTCCTCCCCCAGCAGAACCACCCAGCGGGACACCCCCAGARCCTCYTCCGTCCAACAGAACGCCCCCAGAACCTCTCCTGCCCAACAAGCCAACCCTAAAGCCTCCTGTACCAGGTGGGAGCGCCTCAGGAGCACCTGTACCCAGCGGGACTCCCCACACTCCTCCTTCGTTCAGCGGGACGGCCCTGGGACTCCCGGCTTTCAGACCAGTATCCCAAAGGACAACCCTGGACCACCATCTCCCTGCCGCTCCACCCAAAGAAACAGTCCCAGGAATCCTTCTCCCCACCGCACCAACAGAGACATCCCCTGGGCTTCCTTCCCACTCCGGCCCACTCAGAGTGACGGCCCCCGATCCTCTTCTCCATCCCGCTCCAAGCAAAGTGAGGTGCCCTGGGCATCCGTGTCCCTCCGGCCCACCCAAGGTGACAGGCCTCAGACCTCCTCTCCCTCCAGACSGGCCCAGCGGGACCCACCCCAGACTTCTGCTGGCCCCTCCCAGCACACCTTGCCCTCGGGGGCCACCTCTTCTACCCACAATCCTGGCCACCTCAGTGCCTGGCGCATGTCCTCGCCTCTGTACCCTGGGGCCTGTGGGGCACCCCAGTTCTCTTCCGGGCCCTTCCAGCCAACGTGTGCCGTGTGCATAGGACACCGCGATGCCCCTCGAGCCTCTTCACCGCCCCGCTATTTGCAGCACGACCCCTTCCCCTTCTTCCCAGACCCCCAAGCCTCTGAGATCGAGTTGCCCCACCATGACCCGCCCCACCTGCCACCAGCTGTATGCATTGGCCACCGCGATGCACCCTGGGCATCCTCGCCCCCTCGCCACGCCCAGTATGACCCCTTCCCCTTCCTCCCAGACACATCAGATACCGAAAACGAAAACGAGCCCCCGCACCACGACCCTCCTCAGTTGCCCCCACCCGTGTGCATTGGGCACCGGGATGCGCCTCGGGCCTCCTCCCCGCCGCGCCAGTTCCCGGAGCCCTCCTTCCTGCTCCAGGATTACCCCAGGGCCAGCACCGAGAGCCTCGTCCCTTCCACGGACTCTCTGCCCGARCCCCCGCACAGGCCCGCCCCCGTGTGCATCGGGCATCGAGATGCCCCCTCCTTCTCCTCGCCGCCGCGCCAGGCCCCCGAGCCCTCCCTGTGCTTCCAGGACCCCCCCAGGGCTAGTATGGAGAGTCTGGCCCCCTCCACCGACTCCCTGCGCGGCTCCCCCCTGCTGCCCCCACAAGTGTGCATTGGCCACCGAGATGCACCCCGAGCGTCCTCCCCTCCCCGACACCCGCCCAGCGACCTGGCGCTCCTAGCGCCTTCACCTCCGCCTGGCAGCTCAGGGGGCTCCCGGGGCTCGGCAGCCCCCTGGGAAACCAGGCACAATTTGGAAAGGGAGGAGTACACCGTGCTGGCTGACCTGCCCCCGCCCAGGAGGCTGGCCCAGAGGGAGCCAGGAYCCCAGGCACAGGGCAGCGACGGGGGCCGCACCCGCAGCCCTGGCCGCGCAGAGGTGGAGCGCCTCTTCGGGCAGGAGCGCAGGTGAGCCCTGGGTGGGCAGTGGCGTCCAGGGGGCCTGCGGGAGGCGGAGCGTAGGGCAGGTGGACTCAGGGTTATGTTGCCAGAAGCAAGGGGCCAATCCTTCTGCTTTGCTGTCCACTGGCTGAGTGACCTTGGGCAAGGCACTTTATCTCTGTTTTTGCATGTAGACTAGAGTCAGGCAGGCTGGGTTCAAATCCAGGGTCCAAGCCACTCACATCCTGTGTGACCTGTAACATGAGTTCACCCCTGTGAGCCTCAGTTTCCTCATCTGTCAAAGGAGGGAGAGCAATAGCACATTATTTAATGAAATTAAATTCTCAGAACTTTTGTTTGATCCATAGTCAGGGATGTTTTATTTATTTATTTATTTATCTCTCTTGCATGGGGAAGAACTTGATTCTTTTCTGACAGAGCAAAGAAAACTCACAGGCCCTTTTGCAATTCCAAAAACAGAGATGTTCATTTAAAATGTACAGCCACAGCCATGTATTTTTATCTTATTTTCTATCTTATTTATTTGGCAGTGTTGGGGATGCAACCTGGGGCCACACCCCCAACCAGAAGCCCCGTGTTTTAAATAAGTGAGCTCACAGACTGGCAGGGTTAGGGTCAGGATTAGAGTTAGGGTCAGAGGTTACATATGATTTTCCTGGGACATGATGCTAATGCCTGGAGTCCAGGTGTGAACCTCCTTGGTCAGCCATAGCCCAGAGACTCTGAAATCTTTAAACCAAGTTAACTTTCAACTTTCAACTGGTGCCAGAAGGGGAACTGTCCCCCTCATTAGGTGGCTGAGATTTCTTTCCCAGCAGTGCTGGCTGCGGAGTTTTCAAGGCCCAGAGCTAGAATTCCATTAGTTGAGGTCAAGGGGATTAGGGGSAGGAAAGCAGGTCTGGAGCCTCAGAACTTCCAGTGAAGTTTAGCATATTTACCAAGTTGTGGGGCCATTACCACAGCCTAGTTTAAAACATATCCCACTCCCTAAAAACCTATTTTTTTTTAATGGACACAACACARTGCCTTTATTTTTATGTGGTGCTGAGGATCCAACCCGGGTCCCGCCCRGGTCCCACCCGTGCTAGGCCAGCGCTCTACCACTGAGCCACAATCCCAGCCCCTAAATASCTATTATTTAGGTAAYATTTGGTGCTTAAAATTCCTCTTTGCTGTCCCTGAGACATTTCTCTGAGATCTAAACCTGCACGAGAAACCTTATCTCTTATTCTTCAAATTTCCTTTTCCAGTACACTTGATCCATTTGATATCCAAGTGACAACCTTTGGGGACTCCAGCATTGGTGTCATTCCTTCTTTGGCATTTATTTATTTATTTGTTTGTTTATTTATTTATTTATTTTTGTTACTGTAACTGAACCCAGGGGCACTTTACCACCTCCTCACCTCTTTTAAATTTTTAATTTTGAAACAGGGTCTTGATAARTTGCTTAGGGCCTCACTAATTTGCCGAGGCTGGTCTTGAACCTGCAATCCTCCTGCCTCAGTCTCCCAATTCGCTGGGATTACAGACATGCACCACTGTGCCCAACTGAYGCCAATTTGTATACCTTTGTTTTATTGAAGATTCAACAGAGAGACACTGAAATATTTTTATTTTTATTTTTTTAGTTGTAGGTGGACACAAAACCTTTATTTTTTATTTATGTGGTCCTGAGGATCTAACCCAGGGCCTCACACTTGTGAGASGAGTGCTCTACCACTGAGCCACAACCATAGCCCAGAGACTCTGAAATCTTTAAACCAAGTTAACTTTCAAATTTGTTCCCCCTGAAATGACTTTTGGAGAGAGAAAGGGGTTTATAACAGAAATCAGGGATTTGTTTGCCCTTTTATTAGCAGTTTAGTTATTCTTGTACAATCTTACATATTTTATTCTGCTCCTCTTCAAAGTAGGTTATTTACCTTTTGGTCAAAGTTTTATAACTCTTCTGGGTAAAATTTCCCCTTGTGTGGCACTTTTCCACAGGGAATGCCATTTATCTTCTGAAGACAAATTTAAAAACAATTTTTTTTATAGTTGTAGATGGATAGAATTGCTTTATTTTATTGGTGCTAAGGCTCAAACTCAGTGCCTCACACGCGTTAGGCAAGCACTTTGCCACTGAGMTTCAGCCCCAGCCCCTGAAGACAAATTTTTAGACTATGCATTTGTGTAAGGGACAGACTGGAAGTTATGAGTGGGTGGGTGGYGGTAGAGTAGTACTTTTATCGTCTCCCATTCATCCATCCTGCCATGTTTATTGAGCATCTGCTCTGTCTAAGCATTGTTCTGAGCCTGGAACATTTTTCTGGAAGGGCTATCACATCAAAGCATCAAGAGTTTTAGTTTGATATCTTGACCTTTTATTCTTTAGATACCTTTGGAATCTTTTATTTCAGAACCATATGTGCATTTTGCTGTCACATGAATTTAAAACAGAGCCTTTCTTCTCTGTGCTAGACTTGATGACTTGGAAGTCGATGAGCCCATTTATGCTTMCAAAGGAAACTTTTTAGTCCTCCTCCTTGTGGCCACACCAGCCCTCAGGAACAGGGGCCCCTCTGATAAGGAAAGCTGGGTCTCTGTAGGGGCCTCAGAGTGTTCTAGAATCCCTAGGTCCTTCTCAGTGTCTCACGGGGAAGAAAGAATTCCCGGAAGGAGTGCCCATCTAGCAAGTGAAGTTTGGGAAATGCACACGGGGAGAGAAGGCAGCTCTGCCCTGCTCCCTGGTGTGGCATTTCCTATCCGGCTCCCCTCCCTCCCATCCACCAGTCACGCCTGGGGCTTTGCTTCACGGAGCCACCAGACCTCAGTTCTAGAGAAAACTCCCCTTTATGGCTCTCAAGGAGAAGGGAAAGTCCAATTAGATTAAAAAGTGAACCTGATGGGGAGCGCCCAGCTTACACGCKCTCCAGGGGACCTGGGCTCTTCCCAGTGTGAGCTGCTAAGAAYTGCAGAAAACTCAAACCACAGCCTGGGAGCAGCTCGGTGGGAGGGCGCGTGTATTCAAACCCAAATTGCTCCGTGGATCTGGTTCTAATGACACTGGCAAAAGCCATGTGACCAGCAAACCCCAACTGCACTTTTTCAGACTCTAAACCCCTGCCGAGCTCCCAGGCTTCTTCAGCAGGCTGCAGGGCGGCTCCCAGGGAGGCCGCTTCCTCTGCCCTCCCTTTTCACTCTAGGCTCATCCTCTTCAGGCCTCTCCTCCCAGTTCAGCTCACTCTGCAGAGACATGACTCCAATCATCAATTTATTTTCATTATTTATTTTTGAGATGCTGGGGATTGAACCCAGGGCCTCAAACATGCTAAATACATGCTTTGCCACTGAGCCACCCCGGTCCCCACCCACTCCCTCTCTGCTTGCCAATTTAAATGAAGTCAGACTCTCAAACCCCATGAAAATATTCATGGAGTGGCTAGGTCTACGGAGGTGACCTCCTTACTAAGGGAGGGGACAGATGTGCCCGGAGCCTGCTTGATGTTCTTACTTTTCAATGCTCAATAACTGTTTGCTTAAACATTGTGTGCACAGTGCCTGGTACACAATAGGTGCTCAGTAAACCTGAATTCCCACAAGGGCCAGTCTACCTTTGTTAGAGTGGCTGGTGGACTGTTGGGCAGCACGACACAGGAGAGATGTGGCCCAGGCCTGACCCTGCTTCTCTCCTGGCAGAGTAGGGTGGCACTGCCCAGCCCCATTTCTCAGAAGGGGAGACTGAGGCCCGAGAAGGTCAACCCTCATTTARGGCTGTCGTGGGTCTCTGGACGCCCCCCTCATCTCCTCCCGCTGGGTGGGAGGGGAGGGCTGGGTCACTGAGGGTGGAGCGGTCCCTAAGGCCTCAGGAGCAACTGCATTCGCTCCTAGGAAGTCCGAGGCACCAGGGGCCTTCCAGGCTCAGGATGAGGGATGGTCGCAGCGGCCCAGCCAAGGTCAAAGCCAGCTTCACCGGAGACATTCCAGCCCCATCCCCAGCAGGCAGGTGAGCACTGCCAGCCCCCGCGTCCCAGGGGAGTCACGCCTCCTCCTCCCACTCCTGCAAGGCAGGGTCCTGGGCAGGGAAGTCCTCTGTGAAAGGTCAGGTCCCAGTCACGGGTGTCCAGGCTCCTCCCTCCTCAGGGGCCAGAAGCTCTCGGTAAAATGTGAAGGACCCAAATTAGTCTCTGCAAAGAGCCCTTGGGTGCTGGCCCTTTCTGCATTAGCTCCCTGCTGTTTGGAGAAGGTTGGGCTGCACCACCCAGCTCCAGGGCGCCTCGTCCAGGGTGGGGATTGTGTTTCCCAAGAAGCTCGTAGAGGGCGAGGCCCACCCCGGAGGAACTGGGGATTGGTGGTGGAAATTCCGGCACCCATAGCCCAGGGTGGAATCGGTGTCTCGGGAAGGGGGAGCCCGGGGAGCTGGGAGTGAGCAGCTTCTGCACGCCTCCCTCTGGACCTGGGGACATGGGTGGGAGGGCAGAGCTGGCCCCCCGGAGGGGAAGAAGCCCAGAGGCCTTGGCTCCTTCAGTCTGCTCCATCCAAGCCACTGTGGGGACGTAGCCGACTGTCCCAGGCCCGGCCAAGACAGTGGCCACTCAGCCCAGTCCCGGGAGCCTCACCCGCCTCCTACCTGTTCCTCAGGTGACCAAGCTCCCTGCCAAGCAGCCAGAACCAGCCGCCCGTCGGAGCAGAGCAGAGGCCCCTGGGTCCAGGAGTCTTGAGAGGCGACTCCAGGCCCCCTCAGCGCCCTCCAGGACATCAGCCAGACCCCCTGAGAGGGAGCCGCGGACTGAGAGACCTGCTAAAGGAAGCCGAGCCRTCTCCCCGCAGCCTCTGAGGGGGTGGCAGAGTCAGGAGGAGCTTACGGGGTCCCAGGGCTCTCACAGACACTCGGAAAGAAGTTGGAGCCACCACGAGAAAGGCCCAGGGCCTGAGGGCTGGCCAGGACTTGGGGAGCCCAGCCCGGGGGCTGCCAGAAGCCTGGAGGGAACATGGAGGGGCCTTCCCAGGGAGTACAGGGACGGCTGGGGGCAGTCAGAGGCCTGGAAGGAGGAGCCCCCCAGTAATGGGCTTCAGGACCCCTTCCAGGAGCCGGCCCAGGGGGGCTGGGGCAGCCTGCAGGAGCTGTCCAGTCCCCAGCAGCCTGTGACTCCCCCAGAGAGTTCCTGGGCAGGYCCCGAAGACTTCTCACACCCTCCGCAGCCAGAGACACCCACTGCCCTGGGCTGGAGCGGAGAGGGAGCATGCCCACACCTTCCCGGCCCCGAGAAGCCACCTGACCTCGACTGGAGGGACTTGCTGGGCCTCCTCCGGGCACCTGGGGAGGGGGCCTGGGCCCGACTCCCAAGGCTGGACTGGGAAGGTCTCCTGGAGCTCTTGCAGGCCCGGCTGCCCCACAGGGACGCAGCCAGACACRGGGGTGACCCTGCCAGGACTTCAGGACCAGAGCTGGTCCCCCCGGGCACAAAAGATGCCCCAGAGCCAGAGCGACACAGCCAACCCAAAGACTGGATGGAGGCCACTCGAGTGAATGGACATATCCCCGGCCAGCGGCCCCAGAGCCCAGCCCAGCCACCTTGCCCTGCCTGCACCTCCACCTCCACCCAGTGGCCAAAGACCAAGGTGACAAGTGACCTAGAGACCTCAACTCTGGAGCAGATAGGCCACCTGGGGAGCAGCAGCCCCCCAGTGCTGGAGGTGAGTTTGTCCCTTCTCTGAAGGGCAGCCAGAAAGTCCACCCTAGTGCAGACAATTCTTAGAAAGGCTTCCCTGTGGCATGACCCCAGCTCGTGCACGTCTCCCCCACCCCGGTACTTTTTGTTTGTTTGTTTAGTATGTTTTTAGTTGTCAATGGACGTTTATTTTTTTAATAGATATGTGGTGCTGAGATTCGAACCCAGTGCCTCACACATGCTAGGCAAGCGCTCTGCCACTGAGCCACGACCCCAGCCCCGCCACCCCCGGGTTCTGTCCTTGTCTGGCCCGAATGCTTCTTCTGCCCTTTCTCCCTTGTCTCCACAGCACCCTGATGAGGAAGGCAAGAGTCTGGAGGAGAAGGACTCCGAGGCCCCGCCTTGTCCACAGGTAGCGAGGGCTGGGGCGGGAGAACCAAGTCTGCCACCCTGATGCGATGAGCTGGACGCTCTGGTCAGGGCCTCTCTGCTTCTGGCCACACAGCACCTGGTTTATGTTGTGTCTGCGGTCCCTACCTGGCCATGCCTGGGACTGCAGCCATGTGGCTGTGTCCCCTCCCCCTGCCCCATGCCAAGTTGCTGAGTCCAGGAGCGCCTCACCTCTCCCTCCGCCCCTACTCTGCAGACACTGAAGAGGCTGGGGAGTGCTCGCTGGGTCGAGGTGGCTGCCAAGACAGACTGCTTAAATGGGGGCTGTGTGCAGAGTAGGCCCAGCACCAGGCACATAGTAGGTGCTCCCCAAGTCCCCCCCATCTCAGTGGTACTTTGTGCGTCCTCCAAGCCCAGAGCCTCTATCTGAAGGTGGGGGCGGGGAGAGACCTGCCAYCTGGCTGTAGCTCACCAGGAACACGGCCTATTCCTGGCCATAAAATGGGACCTAGCACTCGCGGCACCTCTGGGGTGACAGGAAGGCTCCTGCTCACTCACCCATACAGCCCTCCCCAAGGAGGGTGAGCTTCTCAGCATTGGTGTTTGCTGCCATGTGACATCTTGGGTGCTGTGCCATCTGTGCCTCAGATGGACAGGAAGGACCTGCGACGGCCCCCTGTTACAGATGAGGAAACTGAGACTCAAATTCATCAGGCATTGCTGGGGACCTCACATGCAAACGTTAGGAGAAATGACAGTAAAGCCTCCACTCCAAAGCCCGTGCTTTCAGCTGTGGTGTGTGAAGCCCTGAGCCCAGGGGGGGACTGGGGAGGCCTCCCTGGTGGTCTTTCCCTGAGGCTTTGTGTGTGTGTGTGTGTGTGTGTATGTGTGTGTACCAGGAATTGAACCCAGGGGCACTTAACCACTGAGCCACATCCCCAACCTTTTTTTATTTTTTTATTTTGAGACAGAATCTCGCTAAGTTGCTTTTACAACCTCACTAAATTGCTGACGCTGGTTTTAAACTTGTGATCCTCCTGCCTCAGCCCCCCAAGCCTCTGGGATTATAGGCGTGCATCACGGCGCCCCACCCTGAGACTTTTCTTAATTGGTCTTTTAATGAGCTCAGTGCACGGACATCAGAGATGCAGGGAGAGCCAGCTTGCTCTTGCCCTTGCCTCTGGACTAGTCAGGGAGGTCAGGAGACCACAGGCAGCTCAGGGAGGAGGACATGGTGCTGTGTCCCAGGGGCCACTGCGGTGCTGCAGGCTGGACTGTCAAAAGGGTGGCAGGGGGTCAGAGAGTCTTCAGCCTCAGCTCAGGGGTCCCGGGGAGGCTCAGGAATGGTGGCTGGGGCTGCCTAGCTCCTCTCTAAGACGTCCTTGGTGCAGCGTCCAAAGCCTCCTCTCTGTGGGGGCTGCAGGACTGCGCCCATCTCCCGCCTTTGCACATGCCGCTCCCTGCCTGGGTGCTATTTCCTTGCCTCTTCACCCACCAAACACCCGCTCATTGTTCAAGCCTTCGCTTGGGTGTCCTGTCCTCAGACCTCCCCAAACACCCCACCCCCAGCTCGCGATGCTCCCCTTCTGAGCTTGGCAGTTTTGCTTCCCTCCATCTGTCACGCTGGGCTGTCATTTCCCCCTCCGAAACGTGAGCTCCACAGGGGCAGGAGCCCAGGCTTCTTCATCTGTGTGCCTCTGGCCCTGGCCCAGGCCTGACACGAAGGAGGGGCTTGGCTCAGCGGGTGGCTGGTCATGGGTGGCTGGTCATGGAGCATCTGAGAAACAGAGGGAGGCCGTGGGACAGCAGGTAGAYGATGGGTGAATGATGGGTGCCAGATGTGTGAATGGGATGGATGGGTGACGGACAGATGACCAATGGTGGATACACGGACGCTGGAAGAGTAGAGGGTGCTGCGGGGTGTGCTGGAGGGCTATGGATGGAGAATGTCCCAGGGATGAGTTAACGCTGGGTGGTGAATGGGAAAGCAGTGCTGGGGTGATGGTGGATGGATGAGCAGATGTTGAGCAGACGGAGGAGGACCCATACGTGATGGATGGAGAGGTGCTGAATAAATAGAAGCTGGATTGGGAGTAGGGGTCGGTCGGATGGTGGATGCTGAACGGATGAGAGGGTGGATGACGTTGGATGGTCGGATGGACACTCGGACTCACTGACGCTGGGTGTGAGATACAAGTTGGATGGACGGATGAGAGTGGGACAGATGAGAGTGGACAGACAGATGGACCCTGGGGAAGAACCTGGGTTAATCTGTATTCTTTCTCATCTCCAGTTCCAACCAGAGGAGCGTGAGGCGTCAGAACCAGGCAAAGGCCAAGACTTACTGACTGACCAGAAGCAGGCAGACCCGGTAGTTGGGTGATGGGTGTGGGCATGGGCACAGGGGAGTGGAAGGGAAGGAAATCAGGTGGGAAGCCAGGTCATCTGTGCACATGGTGGGGGTTTGGAAAGCTGGACAGCAGGGTGATTCTGGCTTGGAGACCTGGGAGTGGCCGGTCCCGGGGTTGGAAGCCCAGGGCTCTGTTTCTAACTTGCTGGGCTGCCCTACAAAGGTCGCTGCCTTTCCCCAGGCAAACGTGGTTTGACCCTGATGGTCTCTGAGGGCAAGGTCCTTCTGGTTCTGGGGGGGCTGGACCAGGCTGAGGAGCAGGGTGGGACATTTAAGAGCCAAAGAAGTGTTGAGGAGGGCTGGGTCAGCTGGGCCTGGAGGGTCTCCAGGTTCTGGGGGAAGGGACATGTGATCAGGGGGGTGGGGTGGGACCTGTGAGGCCGCTCTGGGGCCAGGCTGCAGCTGGAGAGCCCTGCTCTGCCCCACCCCTCCCTACAACCTGCCAAACAGATGATTCTCATCACCCTCAGCCTCCAGAGGGCTGAGACCAGAGCAGAGGGGCAGAGGGCAGGCGACACACTGTTCAGGGCTGTTTTCCTGGTCCTGCTCTTCCCTGGGCGGCCTCCTGAAAAGCCAGGTGTGACAGGAGAGCATCTGTCTGGCAGCCTGGAGCCCGAGTCTGGCCCTGCTGCTTGGGAGCTGGGGGATCTGTGCACCCCTCCCTGTGCAGAAGAGGAACAGGCAGGGGTCATCCCAGGTCACATAGCCAGTCAATGGCTGGACTTGAACTAGAACCCAGGCTCTAGAGCCCACCCCGTGTTCCCTCTGGCCCTGCCCTCCCTCTCAGCTCTCCCTGGTGTGCGTGCTCCTTGCTAGCAGCTTGCGGGGCCAGGCTTCCCTCTGTGAGATGGGGGGGGACAGGGGACTCTGATCACTATCTGGGCTCTGACAACCTTGCTCTTCCTCTTTTGGAGTCATTTCTTCATACTTCCTGAAGCCACAGCTTTGTGAACAAAGAGGAAATAGCAATAGTGGGGGACCCTCTGGTCTCCCAGCCACGTGGATGACCTCCCAGCCAGCCCCCAGCAGCCCTGACTGCGCGGACAGACGTGCTGACCAATTCACTGGGTCTTCATCTGTGCGCTCCCTCGTGCACATCTGTGTGCAGGGCTGGGTCAGCCGGAGCTGGAGTGCCACCRCAGGCGTGTTCCAAGCTGGTGCTCAGGGCCGCGATGGGGGCACGGTAGCCAGGTGGGGCACTCTGTCCTCCAAAGCCTTGCTGGCCTCTGCTTAGAGGCTTCCAGCTCTGCTTCCAGGGAGTGTGGACTCCAGCTGGCGGGGGCACTCGGCCTCTGATCCCCAATCCTGGGATCTGGGGGGCTGGACCAAGCTGTCGGGGAAACAGGAGTGTGCACATTCAAGGTCAGCTTGGGCAACTTAGCAAAACTCAARACCAAAAAGCGTCGGGGATGTGGCTCAGTGGTCGAGCACTGGCCTAGCACGTGCAGGGCCCTGGGCTCGATCCCCAGCCCTGCCACCAAACCAAAGACCAAAGGAAAGCCCAGAAAATCTGGGATTCCAGGCTGTGTACCTACTGTATGCCCAGCTCCACGCTCGGTGCACGGTGMGCCTGACCACAGTACCCGTAGCTCGGCCCCACCCCTGCCCATGACCATGTGACTTTGGGCCAGTCCCTCTGCTTCCCTGGGGTCTGTTTCCCCAACAAGGAAGAGTTCAAAGGGGAACATTTGGGGGTTCTGCCAGAGGTGTCTGCAGGTGTCTGTTCTGTGACTCATTCCTTTCATGTAACCTGGGGTCACAAATCTACTGCCTGATGGCTAGGCAGGTGACAGGAGTAGGGGCTGGGGGACACTTGTATGACCCCTTGGCTCCAGACATTGTTGCTCTGAGGAAGAGGAGCCTAGAGTTCGGCACAGATTTAACGGTCTCTGCGTCTCTAGAACCTAATGTGAAACAGTCTGCCCACATCTCTCGGGGTGGACGCGTGCGTCTTGGCAACCTGGGGTTTGACTCTAGGGTGTGGGGTGCACATCCCCAGGATGCTGAGCCCCAGGGGCCCTGTCTGTCAAATACAGTGAGGTGTGAACCAGTTGGAAGCTTCTCTCCCGGGCAGTTCTGGGAGGGGAGAATGATGGGAACGCTGGGCTTTTGAGGTAGCAGAACGGGCAGGGGAGGCTGTGGCCAGGGATGCCCCCATCCTGCCAAAGGGACATGTGGCCAACACTGGACCCTGTTTGACAGGCAGACAAGAGGCCAGCAGAGGGCAAGGCTGGGAGCCCACTCAAGGGCCGACTGGTGACCTCATGGCGGATGCCCGGGGACCGACCCACGCTGTTCAATCCGTTCCTGCTGTCTCTGGGGGTCCTCAGGTGGCAAAGGGTAGGCTGGTTCCACGGGGCTGGAGGGGTGAGGGTGGCAGAGGAGGGAGGGCAGGGAGGAGACTGATGTTAGTCCCAGAATAGTGTGGGGGCTAAGCAGGGATTGGGGCCCCACACAGAAAGAGCTCCTAAGCTCCTGACAGTCTCTGCGAGGTGGGTTTTCTTGCCTCCAGGGCAGGGTGGGGCTCTTTTTGGCTTTTGGGGTGAGGACAACCAAACAGCCCAGTGACTGAGAGCTTCTCCTTGGTAGCTCCCCCCAGCCCTGTGCCAGGGGAGCCAGGCTGGGGAGAGGGAAAGGCGGGGGAGGCCTGCAAGGGGCTCTGGGATTGCAAAGTGTGCCTGCGTCTGAGCCAGTTTCACAAACATCTGGCGTTACGTAACCATCCCCTGCCCAGAGAGGCCTGTAAACACTCTGGCCTCTGGTTGGGGCTTCCTCAAGGGCAGAGAGGGAGGCATCTAGGACCTGTACCCTCCTGTCCCCTTCGCTTCTGCTGCATCTCTAGGGGCTGCAGGCTTGCCCATGGCATCTCCTTTATTGGTGACAGGCCAACTCTGGTACTTTGTATAGTCGGCCCTGGCGCTAGCACTAATCCAGGTACCTTAGAGACAGTGTACCCATTTTATAGATGAAGGGACTGAGGCTTAGAGACATGAGCTGATTGACCTGAAGTCACACAGTTGGGTGTCCTGGGGCTGATTTTCTGCTTCCCATGTGAGATAAGGATTGCGGCCAAATTCACCAAGCCCTGGTTGCCACATCCATTGGGGAAAATCTGCCGAGAATCTCAGGGCTCAGGGAGGGCTCTGGGAGATCCAGAGGCACAGAGGTTGGGGAGGGTCATCCATTTCTCATCCTCTTTAGGGGATCAGGGCACCAAGGGCAATTGGGCAAACATAGTGATCCAGTTAGGGTGGTACCTTTGAGGCAGGAGCAGGAATTACCTTATCAGACTAGCTAAAGTCACCAACACACAGCAGGTCTGCCAGAAGGGGACACGTTCGTCCTCGGTGGAGAGGAGGAGGAGAGAAGTTGAGGACAGCACCCTGGGGTAATGATGATGGTGATGGTCACCAGCAATGACTGTGTACCTACTGTATGCCCAGCTCCATGCTCAGTGCACGGTGCGCCTGACCACACTCGATGCTCACCACCAGTCACAGTTAGACACATGTTGTCCGTTTTGCGGAGGAGGAAATAAAGCACAGAGGAAAGTCACGTGTTCCAGGTCACAAAAGGGCAAGTGGCAGAGCTGGGATTCAAACCCTGCTCTGGCTGATCTCAGAGCTGGATGTCTGCAAACCTGCCTGGCACCTGCTGGTTTCCCTGAGTCCTCACTTGCTGTGCGCTCTGGCCCGTGGCCCGCTTCTCTGAGCCTTACCTTATTACCCTCAATGGAGCAGTGGGTTGAGGCCGGACCGCCTGAGTTTGGGGCTGTGGTCTTTGCCATCTTAAAAACTCACTCCTGGCGTTGCCAGTTGTGTTTGGCTAGCCTGGGCCATGGCTTCTTTATTTGGTGTTTATCCATTTAACCAACCTTCACTGAGGAGGCACTGGGGGCCAAGGCCTGGCACACTCCATCCCCGTCCACAAGGAGAACAGCAAGGTGAGGTCCCTGAAAGGTAACTGTTTAGAACACAGCATGGCCATGACCTTGGTGGAGGGATGTGCAGAGGCAGGGGCACAGGTCTGGGTGGCAGAGGCAGGGATCACTCTGGAGGGAGCACGTGGCAAGGAGTTTCTAAGTTTAACTGGACACTCTGGCTCCCTTTGGCCTGAGGCATGAAGGGTGAAGAGAATAGTCCAGGCAGACATTCAGGGGGTGAGGAGAGAGGAAATGAGTGTGTGCATGCGTGCATGTGTGTGTGGACGACAGGGTGGGAAGTATTCCAGACATGGCAGCCAGGAGGTACAAAGGAGCTGGTTTACCCCAGGAATTTCTAGTAGTACGCCATTATGGACCCTGAATGTGAATGTACCCGTAAGAGGGGGACAGTAGGTGGGCCTGGCTGTGAAGACTCCCCAGGATGAGAAGGTACAGCTGGTCTGTCAGTGTGCATTAAGTGAGGAAAGACTTTGTGCAGTGGAGTGCTCTGGTCACTGGGTTGAGGGTACTAGAAGGTGAATCCCTGACCAGAAAACCAGAGTGTGGAGCTGGTGCTGCTAGTTGCCCAGGCCATGGGCCAGGCCCCTCGGGGTAGGTGGGGTCTTTGGTCTGTTTGTTCCTCACTCTCTTGAGGCCTGAGGCCTGAGCAAAGTATAGAGGAGAGTGGGAAGCCGCACAGGTGCCTGAAGGCCAGTGTCTAGAGTGAGGTGGACTTATCCTCGGCCTTATTCTTCATGGTGGGGAGACTCCTAGCAGAAAATGCTGAGAAAGAACAGCAGGTCTCTGGACCTCCATTTCTTTCTTTCTTTCTTTCTTTCTTTCTTTCTTTCTTTATTTATTTATTTATTTATTTTTTAGTTCTCGGCGGACACAACATCTTTGTTGGTATGTGGTGCTGAGGATTGAACCCAGGCCGCACGCATGCCAGGCGAGCGCGCTACCGCTTGAGCCACATCCCCAGCCCATGGACCTCCATTTCTTTATCTGTGAAATGGGGATAGTCATTATAAGGCAATAATTTCTTTTAAAATCTTTTTTTCATTTTAAGTGGATACAATACCTTTATTTATTTTTATATGTTACTGAGGATTGAACCCAGTGCCTCACATGTGCTAGACAAGCACTTTTTCCACTGAGCTACCACCTCAGCCCCACAAGGCAATCATTTTTAACCCCAAGTCGTCAGATGAATCGAAATGGTGGGTAATCCAGGCTCCCTTGCCTCCCATGCCTCCCACCTATGGAGGGCTAAGTAGGGATCAAGAGGTTGTTTCACATGCTTTACTTGGATTAAAGCTTAATCCTCATCTCAACCAGATGAGGTAATAGCATTAGTCCATTTACAACGGGTGAAACTGAGGCAGAGTCCAGTGCCTTTCTTCAGGTAACAGTTTGGCTGTGCTACGCAGGCTACCAGTAGCCAAGAAATTCCTCCAAGGACTCCTCATCTGCAGGCCTCAGATGAGATCTGCAGCCAAAGAGCCTTTAACTGTCAAGAGCTCTGGGAACATGATGGAGGGGTGTACACCCACCCTCAAGAACCAAAAATGAGAAGGATCTGCTTGGCAGGAGGGAGCATTTGGGGAAGCCTTTACCATTCCAGAACTCAGTCTGCGTGCCATCTTACCTACTAACAATTCTGTGTCTTACTTTGTGACCTTGGGCAAGTTGGCCCACCTCTTTAAGCTTCCGTTTTCTCATTAGTAAAATGGAGACAAGGAGCACTCCCCTTCAGGTCTACGGTAAGGACAAAAGTCGTTTACAAGGTAACAGGTGTGCCCCTCGAGTCGTTAGGGCTAGATGCTTCGCCCACGTCCCCATCCAATCAAGGCGCGGAGACCTAGTTGGCCCAACGCCCCTAGCTGGGGGCTAGGGCTGCGGGTAGCCAGGGCGGCGAGGAGGCCACCCCCAGCTCCCGCCCCAGCAGTGGCTGGACGGAGTCACCTGCACGCCGGGCTCTTCCTTCCGCCAGGCAACCGGCTGCGGAGCCGGACCCGCCCTTCGTGGCTCCCTGCCGCCGCCCCCATCCGCCCGCCGGGCCTGCCGCCCTGCCGCCCCCGCGCGCCCGTCCCTTCGGGCAGGCCCCGCCCCCGGACCCGTCCCGCGCCCCATTGGTCCGCTCGCGCCCCCGCCGCTGTTTGTCCCGGCGTTCCCGCCGCCCATTGGCCCGCCCGGGTCCTCCCAGGAAGTTTGAAAAAAAAAAAAAGTTTTATGGGCGGATGGAAGGGGCCGGGACTGCGCTGGGGAAGGGCAGGGCTAGAGGAACGGCGGGCGCCGGCCGAGAGGGGCGGCGGCGGCGGGGTCCCCGCGCCGCGGAGCCCGGACCGAGAGCCCCTTCCTCTGTCCCGCCGCCTGGTCCTGCCGCCCCGGGGCGCCGCCATGACGGTGAGTGCCCCGCGCCCCGTTGCCTGCGCTCCGCCGCCGAGGCAGAGCCCCTCCGCTCCCCACCCGGGCAGCCCCCTCCTCACTTCCCAGAGTTGGGAGGTGGTGTCCGCCGCCAGACCTGCCTCCGTGCCCCATCCCCTCGTTACCCTAGGAGACCAGGCGACCCCAAGGAGCTGGGAGCTCCCCGTCCCCGGCACCCCGCTCGCCTTGACGGGACCAGTGGCGGGCGCACTCGAGCGAGCCTGTCCCACCTTCCCTGCGACTCCCTAGAAGACCCGACTTCCCGGGGTTGTCAGGGGCTCCGGCCCGTGAGGAGCGCAGACGGGCCTGGCCTGGGTTGGGTTGTCTCCGGGCTGCTTGACTGGGTCGCACAGACCTGGCCTGCAAAGGCTGGCCACCCGTGTGCGCGCTGGCCCGAGATTAGGAGGGCGAGAAGGGCGGCCGGCCCCACCCCACGGCCTGGGAGCCATTCTGTGGCTCTGAAGCTGCGGGATAACATACTTTCCCCCGCTTGGGCTCTGGGGCCTTGAGTGGGGCGACACTGCAGGTGGGGCGGTGGGCACGATGGCAGGAGGTTGTATTTCTCTGGGGGATAAGGTCTACTCAGGCGCTGTCAGTACCTGCGCCTTAACGATCATGTAGAGCCTCATAACTGAATTCATTGTTCCTATTTCACAGCAAGATAAACAGAGGCTTGGGAGGGCCTTGGTGAGTTGCCTGAGGGTTACCCCTAACGTAAGGGAAGAAGTGCCCCTTTCCAGATCAGTCTGGCCAACTGATCATGATGTGCTGGAAGGGAGGGTGGAGCTGCTTTTGATTTCTGGCTAGTGCATTAGGGAGGCTCCAGAGTTTGGTGACCCTCTTGGGGTTAGGATGAGCAGGGTGTGTGTGTGTGCGCGCGCGCGTGCGTGCATGCGTGTGTGTGTGTGTGTGTGTGTGTGTGTGTGTGTGTGTGTGTATATATATATATATATATATATATACACACATACATACATATGCATGCACGGCACATGCGCATTCTACCTTCTAGTGAGTGAAGTCCTAGTGAGGAGTGGGCTGGGCTGATGGAGGCGGGGCCCATGTGGGGCCCCTGCCCCTGTGAGCGGGATGACCTGGCGCTGCTGCCTGGACTTCCTCGGCCTCTGCACATCCTGCCACCTCCCTGCTGGCCCTTCCTGTCGACAGCAGCCTCCCCTTCCCTGTCAGGGAGCAGAGGGGGACGTGGGGGGAGGAGCTGAGTCAGTGTCCTGGGGCCAGGGGGAGGTGTTTACACTGCCCACTGGGTGCCTGCCAGCCCCTGCACCGGGTGCTTTCACCCTACCAGATGGAGCCTTTAAGGTCTGCGGTGTGGTCCCCATCAGACAGCTAAGAGAGCTAAGTTGTGGAGAGGTGAAGCAGCATGCCCGCGGTCCCTCTATGGCTGGGCCACAGTTTGTGTCCAGTTCAGTCCCATTTTTTTTCCTAGGGAGAGATAAAAGATGTGTGTGGTTGCAGTTCCTGCGCTGCACCCGCTGAGCAAGAGTAGCTGACAGTTCCTCCCCGCTAGTGGGAGGAGGGCCTTGGGAGGGAGATTCCTGTGATTCTAGAACTTTGTCAGGTGATGGACTGGGGAGGAGGGCCGCGTTATGGGGGAGGGGCATGTGGGTGAAGGCTGGTGTTGGGGATGCTGAGAGCGTAGAGGAGGGCTGGCAAGAGCACCTGGAGGCTCAGGAAAGCCTGGTCATGGGAAAGGGGAGCCATCACAGGTTTGGGAGCAGAGACAGGCTCCTAGTCACCAATCTGGGGCTCAAGTGCTCACCTGGCTGCCATTTGGATCTGAGCCTGCTCCAAGCTGCCCCTCCTGTGCCTGACCCATCTCCCTGGCCCCCACCCCTGACCGAGCAGAAGGCACAGTACTGAGGGCAAGTACCTGCTCAGAGGCTGTAGGAGCTGGTGATCTGGCTCTGGACCTGGGGTCGGAATCCTTGTCTGCCATCTTGCCTTAGTCCCAGCACAGCTTTGCGAGGAGCCTGGCTCCCCAGCCATCGCTGGGCGTCAAGTTGTATGCTTGTTCTCTTGTTTACCGTCTGCCACTCAAACCCGCCAAGGCAGGGGCTACAGCTCTTGTTCCCAGCTGGCTTCCTGCCCTAGAACAGTACCTGGTGCTTAAAAAAAAAGGGGGTGCTTTTTGTTTTTCCTGCAAAGACTCTTTGAGCTCCAGTGGGGTCTGGGTGAGCAGCCCACCAGGGGGAGAAGTAAAGGTCTTAAGACAATCTTGACACAGTGGGGCCTCTGTAAGGGGCTGTGGATGAGTGGCTGGTGGGTGCTAAGAATGGGGAAGGGGGCCTCAGAGGTGACAGTTAGGGCAACTCTTGAGGCACCAGTGGGGACTTGCTTGGCCAGCAGACGAGGGCACCTAGTATTTCAGGCTGAGGACAGGAGCAGGTGTGAAGGGCTTGGTGGCCTGGCATGATGTGGGTGCCCAGGCTGGGGGAGCCAGGTTGGGACAGCAGGTGGAGGCTTTTGTCACATCCTGAGGCAGTTATACTTTGTTTTGGAGACACCTGGAACCAACCCTGCAGGTCTTAAGCAGCCCTATGACACTAGGCCTCTTTGAGTGAGCAGTGTGCTTAGAGGGGTCCGTGGCCTTGGTCCAGGCAGGAGGCAGGGCTGACCAGTGGCCAGGGTCTGGGAGGACAGCCGCAGGAGCCTGTGGCTACTTCCGAAAGGACAACGGGAACACTGAGCATCCTGCAAGTGCCAAAAGGTGACTGGCCACAGAGCCAGGGCAAAACAGGAGAAATGGAGTTGGCCTTACCTTTTGAACCTGGCCCTAGGTTTCTGTGCCAGAGATTTAAAAAACTTGCTTTGGCTGCCTCCTTTCTCGCAGGTCGCCGTGCTAGGTCGTGCCTGACATGGCTGTACTGGTCTGTACTGATCTCTCAAGGGTCACCAGGCTGCCCTGTCTGTGGCAGGTTCCGGCCTCTTGGAAGGCTGGGGGAGGGCAGGACCCTTAGTCACTTGCCATATCAGGCATCCGGGGCTCCAAGAGGGATGTGTCCTAGAAAGGTCACAGCTGTTCCACTTTCCAGGCAACCCTTAGAGCCCCTGCCTGTCATTGCAGTGGGGGGATCCCTGGCTCAGCCTCTTGGGTCCGATTGGCTGTCCTCTGCTCAGCCCACCCAGGGGTTCTCCCCTGGGGCTTTCCCCTGGATCAGCTCCATGGGCCCCGCCCTGAAGCACAGGAATTTAGGCCGGGAGGCAGAAGAGGTGTGATTGGCAGCTTTTTCTGAGGCCTGCTGTGGCCCGTGGAGGGTCTGAAGGGAAGTAGAAGTGTGGTCACTGGTTTTCAGGCTTGGTTTGGGACAGGTGGCTGACGGGGCAGGCAGAACACAGAGCAGACAGGACAAAGCAGCCCTGGGGCTTCCTGGCTCAGAGCAGAGCCTGTCTCCTTGCTCAGACAGGTAGCAGGGTGAGGCCGCCAGCCTTTAGGTCCCCTGACCATGGCCATGGATAATTCTGGATGTCCAGGCTGCTGGCCCAAGCTCCTCTCAGCCAGCTTCCTCCACCTGAGGAGAGCAGGGCTCCCTGGGAGTAGGACGGGTCAGGAGAGGTGGCCAGGTCAGGTGGCTCTGGTTTCCAGCTGTCGCCGCCCACCCCACAGAGCCATGCCACCCGGCTCCCTCCAGGCAACCAGATACCTCGGCTGGTAAGCTGCGATGCAGGTGCTGATAGGTGGGCTCCGAGCCATGGCAACAGGTGGCTGCCTCCTCCCTGTCTGCCAGCCTCCCAGCCTGTGGGACTGAGACTGCAGAGGGACCAGGACATAAACAAGAGAGGACCCCTACAGGCAGGGACGGGCTGGAGGCTGGCACCCTTCACATGGACATGGTCAGGGATATGCCCGGATGTGCAGCTTCTTCCTGTAGGCCTGAGTGGGGTATCTAGCTGCAGGCTCCCCAGGGAGCATGCTGCAGCTGGGAGCCCCCCGGCCCCGGGGTCGGGCCCCACTGGGCAGCACCTGGCAGGTAGGGCTTGCTAGGACTGAGATGCTGGGCCTTCCCAAAGAGACCTGGGGACCAGAGGGTTTCTGACCCCAGCCTGGGACTGCTCCGTCTTTAAGGGTCTCCAATAGATGAGTAGAGGGTGGGACTAGGGGGACCCTAGAGGGTCGGAGCAAGGGATGGACAGAGCTTTAAGGTGCACACCTGGGCTGCCTCAGCCTTGTCAGAGAGGAAGGGACAGCCTGCTCCATTGTTGCTCTGTGTTGTCCTCTGAGCCCCTGGGAGACTCTACAGGCAGAGTCCCCTCACCCCTTCTTTCCCCATCCTGGGTTAGGAAGGCTGGTGGGAGGGGAGCGTGGACATGGGTGGTGTATATCAGCCACTGGCCACTCCCTGGGCTCTCATGCCAGGTGTTGGGGAAGGGGCCAGGCTGCCTCAGTGGTGGGGAGCCCACCTGCATGTGGGGTAGGTGTTACCTGGGCCCTCAGCCCTCTCCTGGTTTCTCGAGACCTCAACCTTACCGGGGTTGGGGCAGTGGGTATAGTACCCTGTCCCCCCCCAGCCTGGGGGCTTCTTGTTGGGCCTGACCCCCTGCCTCCTCACCCCCCACAGCCCGACCTGCTCAACTTCAAGAAGGGATGGATGTCGATCTTGGATGAGCCTGGAGAGGTAGGAGGGCCGGGCCGGGGGAGAGGCTGGCTTGGGCTTCTTCAGGGCCTCCCTGTCTTCCCAGCCCTCTAGAGCCCCGGCCTCTGGGGGTGGGAGTGGGGCCCAGAGCAAAAACCCTGGGGTACATTTCCTGTCCAGTGGAGAAGAGGGCCTGGGTCGTGCCGGTGGGAGGAGTGGGCATTGTCCTCCTGGATGATCTGCAGTATGTGGGTCCCCTGGAGTGGAGGGAGTAGAGGCCTCCTGGTCCACACACCAGGCCCCATCCTCTGGTCTCACCAGGGGCCGCTTGTCCTCCCCCCTCACAGTAACTCTGACTGGGACCCCGCGGGGTCAGGCAGGAAGGTCCACAGAGATCCCCGGGCCTGACACATGCAGATCCCCAAGACTCAGCCGTAGGGTGGGGCTCAGCACAACTCAGGAGTCTCACCAACCTGGGGCCCCCGCTGGTGGAGCCAGAGCCTTCTCCAGGCCTCAGCAGCTCCGTCTGGGGTATACCCGTGGTGGGAACTGAGTGGACACAGAGGCACAGAGATAAGCGTGGACAAGTTCCCACAGCCCTGGCACCTACTGGGGTCTCAGCTGATGACCCCTACCTTTTTCTGTCATATCTGTCTTTGGAACCAGAGAGGACAGTGACCATTTCACCAGCTCTGCCCTTTTGGCTGCCAGGCCTGCCTGGGAGTGAGAGCTGGCTCCCCGCCACCCAGCCTGGCGGGGGACACAGCCTACCCCAGTCTGCGTGCGCCTGCGGCTCGGGGCTGCCTGTAGCCCGCATGCCGGGCAGGGCTCCGGGCCAGGGGGGACCTCATTGTGTTTCCTGCCCACATCCTTTATTCCCTCCAGCCCACAGCCTTCCGTCCCTGCTGCCTGCCCGCTGTCCTCCCGTGGCTGCTTTCCAGACTCACACAAGGCCTGGCGCCCTGCCAGTGACCCTTCCTGGCTTCCCCACCCAGGGTCCCCGAGGGCAGGAGGATTATGGGCCCGCCCAGAACTGGCTGTTACTCATCCTCTTTCACAGGGTTTTGGAATGTCCGAGCTGGCAGGGCCCTGGGAGCCCAGCCAGCCCAGTCCCTAGGTGCCCAGGCAGGAGAACCCACCAGGGGGGTGGTCCCCTCCTCTCCTGGCAGCACCTTGGGCGGCCGGGCCTAGAACTCGGGTCTGAGGCCCATGGCGCTCCTCCCTTCCATCTCAGAGCAGACCTGCAAGGACCAGAGCCCCATTGCCACAGCACCTGCCGCTCTCAGAGAGGCAGCTGAAGTCCCACGTAGGGAGGGCAGGGTGGCTGAGCCAGTGGCCTCTTAGGACCACTCCCAACAACCTCGGCCAGGCCCATGCCAAGTGCCGTGAGAAACACAGGGGTAGGTACTTCTCGCCTTGCCAAAGGCTTGGGGACTTCTTGGTAGCCCCAGAAGACTGAAGCTCAGAGAAGTGCAGACAGCTGCACAAAGGCACTCAGCCAACAAGGGCACAGGCACACCCCAGGTTCTTGGATGTGACACCCGAGTTCCCAGGAGATACTGAGTGGGAATAAGTGGGGAGGTCATCCTTGACACCCCTGAAAACTGACTATGGCCCACAGGAAAGGAAACTAAGTGCTTGAATCAGCACAGGTAGGGCTTGATGATGGGGAGCCCCAGGAGGGCTGGGGCCTGGGCGACACGCACTGACCCTGGCAGGACACGGACTGCCCGTGGCATTCCAGTAGAAAGGCCAAAGCCCAGAGTGTGTCTCGTGCCCCTGCCCCTTACTATCATGTTTTGCCACCTGACCCTGGACTAGAGGAGATGGGCACCACAGAAAGATGCCCAAGTCATCACGTACAGGTTGGCGGAGCTCACACGGTGCCTGTGCCCAGCTCTCTGTCCCCTCCCCTGGGCCTCTTTCTCCTGTCTGGGAAGTCTTTGTCCCTGATCACGGTGTATGAAATAAGCCTGGGTGATGTTCTGGTTGCACTTAGCCCCTGACTCGGCCAGGAAGTGGCCTTACCCAGGACACGCCCCTCCCTCATCTGCACCTGGGAGGTGCTTGAGGCTCTGACTCTCTGACCCGGCTGCTTTCCCGGGTCAACCAGCAGGATGGCGCGCACAGCCCCTCCATCAGCCAGCAGGATGGYGCGCACAGCCCCCTCGGTCCACCCTCCTGCAGCCTCAGCCCTTCTCACCTCCCCTCTCCCCAACAGTGGAGGAAGCACTGGTTCGTGTTGACAGATTCAAGCCTCAAGTATTACAGAGACTCCACAGCGGAAGAGGTGAGGCAACTGGGTGCCCACAGGCCCCAGCCGGGCTCGGTAGACTGGGACTCCCCAGGGCGCATGTGACCCTGCCGTGCCTTCTGCTCTAGGCAGATGAGCTGGACGGCGAGATCGACCTGCGCTCCTGCACGGACGTCACCGAGTACGCGGTGCAGCGCAACTATGGCTTCCAGATCCATGTGAGGCTGCGTGTGGCTGGGGGAGGTGGGGAGGTGGGCAGCGTGGCTGCCGGCCCCAGAGGAGGTGTTGGTATCAGACGTGACTCCCCCATTTATGCAGAGACCCTCTCCACAGAGCCAGTCAAGCTTTGGTGCCAACACCTGCGAGTTCTGGGGAGAGCTTGGTGCCAGGGGCGGCTGCCCAGGCTCGTAGAGGACGTTTGCGCCCTCTGCAGACCCTTTGCTTATCACCTTAGACCCCCTCCAGGGAAGGAAGGGCCACCCTTCCTGGGTCAGCAGGGAGATTGTAGGTTGACCACGTGTTAACCTACTGTGGTGTGGATTGCAGACCAAGGATGCTGTCTATACCTTGTCGGCCATGACCTCAGGTATCCGGCGGAACTGGATCGAGGCTCTGAGAAAGACTGTGCGTCCAACTTCAGCGCCAGATGTCACCAAGTAAGTGCTGGGCTGGGCTGGGC